TCCGTTGGATTTTATCAGTGAGAGCTGATCTCCCCTGGGCGCTTGGTCCATTTCTTGTGGCTGCATGTGGGAATGATTCCAAAGCTCTTGGCAACTGTACGTGGTTGCTTTTCCCGCAGCATGAGAGTGGCAGCTCTAGTGTTACACTGCAGAGCCTAATCAATGGCCTGCCTCGAATGAAAGCCTTCAAATATACATACTTATAAACCCAAGTCCGTGACTTTCGGTTTCAGCCCGAAACTCCGGTGGCCAAGGCCTGAAAGGCTTTCAACCTCCGAGTCCAAGACCTTGGCCAAAACCGTGGCTTTGCAGGCGAATAGAGCAGTCCTCCGAAGATCGCGTGAAGAGGCAGCTGGAGGAGCAGGCCGCCTTCCCAGCTTTTCCTTCTCGATTCGAGGAGGCGTCGAGGTCTCTTTGCACCGTTATGCAGGCGTTGTTGAGGCATGACATACAATCAGTATACAATCAAGCCGCAGGGGACAATTACCAAACGCGTGTTGCTGCACTGGTGACATATGCATGTCCATCTCCAATTCTATACGGACAGACGAGAACAATGTCGAGACAGCATTGAGCTGCCAGGGGTTGCCTCCTGGCGTCGAGCTGTGAGCTTAGCGTTTAGGCGTTCTGACGGGCGGACTGGGACCATGTTCGCAAATCTAAAATAGGATTTGCTCATGCTGGCATCTGTCGGAAGACGGTTCAGGTTGCCAAGCGTGGATCCCACCGCTCCAACTCCGACGATGCAGCCCTGGCCCCAGCTGTAGAGCATCATTGCAAATCCTGGGCCGTCCCCAATAAATGTCTTACATCTTCAACTCGAACTCCGATTTCAACCTGCGTCCAGGGCGCTGCAGTGCATGAAATGCGATGCTTTCGCTGCATGTGTTTCAGACGACAGGATACATCAAGGATGCGACTTCTCAGCCTGCACGTCGCATCAGCCAGGTATGCCAGGTCTGCGCCAGCGCTGCACGGCCAGCCGGCACCCAAGTCTATGTCGTTGCCGCGGTGCTTGGGATTCGGGTATAAGGTCTACGCTTGCCCCCGATGTGATGTGTCTACGGGTCCAAGTGCCATGATGGTGTTGTATCTGCTGCTGTAGAGTCTTTTTTGAGGATATTCTGTAAGACGGAGAGTCATAGAATGGCAGATGTCTCCGTCTGAGGCTACCCCCGAACTTTCAACACTGTAAACTGCAAAGCCCTGCAACCCCTAAGGATGCATCGATTTGTTGCCGTTTTTCTTTGAACTAATTTGTACGCCCTCTTTTGCAGTTCCAGACGAGCAGCAGGGAACGTCCAACTTGCAGATAGTAGCATACCTCCGCGAGTCTCTTTAATGGAAGAAGCAACAGCTTTCACTGTCCCTACGCCGTATAAGCCCGTGTTGCTGCACTGTTTGGGAAGATTCTTTCGCGGTGCCACATTTTGGAAGAGGGTGCGCTCTCTATTTTGCGTTACATCCCTAAAATCTCTTCAAGTCAGGTCGGGTGGCCAGGGCAGATGTTCAGAATATTCTTCGTTGTTGCACGTTGAAGTACTGCCATCCCCGAGCACAGGGTTCGGAACACTGAGGACGCATGGTTGGCCCAAGGTCACAGTGCTTTTACCTCTCCAAATAACAAACGGCAAAACCAAAAGCTTCAACTTCTTGCTGCGAGGCAAAACGGCATGGACATCACCAAGACACAGGAGGCCCAGAAGCTTTTCCTTGCTTCTGAACCCTGGCCCTAAACTGCAATGCTGGAGGACTTTAGCATAAGTTAGCTCGTGCACAACAGACTTCACAGCCGCAGTTCTTCATTCAAGTAGGGACGGCTCAATTGCTGCATTGCTCGATTTGGATGCCTAGCTCCCACTTATTGTGCAAGAATAGGACCGCCAGCCTCATATCCCCTTACTAGTCCGCACCGAATTCTGTGACATTGTCTGCCAAGCACTAGGTCACTAGGTCCCAGGTGTGTCAAACCTTCCTCGGGCCTACTAGCAGTCGGATCGGGTGTCAAGCTGCTATTCAGCACCCAGCAGAGTTTGCCCGGACCACATCCACCTACCCTAAACGGCTCAGAACATACATCCACATTGTTGTCCAACATGCATGCTCCAGGCTTTCAGACCAAACCAGCTTCCTCCAGTGGATGCGAAGGAGCGACATGGGGCACGGACAGCTGACAACGGCAGTTTCTCAGATCATTTGCAACGTGGTTTTGATGGGCTTTTGTGCACTGTTCAGTGTTCTTCACCATGCATCAGCAAAAGGGCTGACATGTGTTACTTCGTATCGCAGCCTCAGCTGCAAGCCATGATGTCATGGTTGTCGATTTTGAAGAACAAGGTAAGTTGTCAAAGGGCCGAACCTTGCGAAACTTCATCTCCTCAGCTCTGCCTAAACGGGTTTCTAGAGTTTCATGTAGAAACCTGATTAAGAAACCCTGGGCCTAGAACCCCAAAATACAAGGGTTTAAAATGGGAGTTTCCGAAAATAGGGGACCCCAAATTTAGTACCCTAAATAGTAGGATCCTTGTTATAAGGACCCCAAAATAAGGTACCCCTAATGTCGGAAACTCCCATATACGGAACCGCCCAAGGTTTCTTAATCAGGTTCCTACATTACTTGGAGGATCAAGGGACTTAATAAGTAGGGTTATAAGTACCTTAATTGGGGTTATAAGTAATTATACTAAGTGTAGTTACCCTACTTATAACCCCAAGTACTAAGTCCCATGATCCTTTAAGTAGACCCCCAACCCTAAGCCCTTATAGTACCCCTATAGATCCCTTAAAGGGACCCCTTGAGGACCCCAATTACTAAGTCCCATGATCCTTCAACCCTAAACCCTCGTAGATCTCTTATCGAAACCCTTTAAGGAACCCCTGGAGGAGCCCTTTAAGGTTACTAAGTCCCATGATCCTTTAAGTAGGGTTGTTTCTGCAGGAGATTGGCCGGAAGCACGGAGTTCCCAACTTTGGCCACAGCGTGGACAGAGCAATTCAGCACTTGCCTGAGAATTCGGATGGCTAGGCGTTTAGGGTTTGGGGATTCGGGTTCAAGATGGGGATTCGGGTTCAAGATGGGGATTCGGGTTCAAGATTTAGGGGGCTATGAGCATTTACGTGGATGGTTACGGGCGTGTGATATAGGAGCCTGAGTAATTACCAATGCTCCTCCATAAGGGTTTTTCAGGATCAGTATAGTGCACATTATAACAATGTGCCACAGAACCCTATTCCAGTTATTGAGAGTCCATGTATTTAGTATCACAAGTATTACGTATGGCCTCGATACAATCATACCATAACATTTCAATTTTCACCAAGTCTATTGCCGCTCTAACATTACCAGGGATAGGGAAACCTGATCTCTGAATTAGCACTTCACCGAACGGAGCTAAGCTGAACTGCAGATCTTGCTGGTGCTGATACTATGTTACTGAACCTTACAAGGCTCAAAATCTATGTTATGCTTTTCCCATCATCTATGTTACTATAACTGTATACATAGTTTATGAAACTTTTAACATACTATACTACGGAGAGGTCGTATGCGGACTCGGGACGTCCTCGCTTTGTGAAGCAGGCGCGAAGGGTTTGAAGGGCATAGGACTTGTAATAACGGTCCGTGCTCAAACTGATTTACCTTCATCGGGAACTTCGGCTCATTGCGAACATGGTTTCATCATTTTGTTGATGAGCCTGAGCGATGGGTCATTGATACCCTGCCTAGCAAGCCGGCTGAACTCAACACAGTGTTGTGGTCTCGCAGTCACATATATACTATTTGCACCTGTCAATTCCGTTAGTGCATGTGCAGGATAGGCGCAGAACCCAAGATGTCGGACCGTGCATGGGAAGCCGTGGCAAATCCTTCCCGTTGGCAGGCAAGATAGCCGAACTTGACCTGAGGGGTTGTGGAAGGCCTGCGAGGTAGGGCTGACCGAACTCCATACAAATTCCCCAAACCTTGCACCTTGCAGGACCTGTCATGTCACATTTGTAGTTACACGCGGCGTGGTGATGTTTGCCTGTGTTCACTTGAGACATGCAGCTGTGTCGAAACTTCTCCACGCTCCGCAGTCACGACTAAAGTCATTCATGAAAATGCAACAGCCGGAGAGAGAGTTGCAGTAATCGCCAGCGAAGCTGCGAACTCGGCTCCTCTTTGGCGAAGGAATTCTTGTGTGTTTCATAGTGCACTGTTGGCTGCCCAGCAGATATGGACAGGCACAAACAGAGTTGATTGTGAATGTCGTTCCAGGGCAACAGTCAAGGTAATAGCAGATTTGACTGTTATTGCCGCAGGTACTTCCAGTATCTGGTGCAGGCAGCACATGTCTCACTAAACATGCACAGCCGAATCTCTGTAGCAAGCTAGAGGTTCTAATTCTCAGCCCTCTGCGTGCAGTGGAAATCTCTGTCAGAGATGTTTGGCAATTGGAGTCAAGCGGTGGAGCTTACGCAGACGTCCTGCTTGCGGAAGCCAGCTGGAGCTGGAAGCATATTTCTCTGTGTGGACGAGGTGTCCTACCATACGCTCAAAGTGCAGTCCATAAAGTTGCAAAGCACTCGATCCACCCACCTCCATCTAACTTCCGTGCCTACGGATCATTGTGATTTGACACTCACTATACATGCTCCCTAAAGAACCCTACTTCAAACTTGTGACGTTTCATCACCCGGTTCAGCTTTGACAGGGCTGTGCCCAGGGATGCACATAGAGGAACAGTATGGCTGTGGTACTTCGTCTTATTTGTTTGACGTTCAGAAGAAGGAGGAGTCGGAGGAGCAGGAGGAGCGTGTGGTAGCCGTGAGATATACCCTCTACACTCAAAGTATAATCTATAATCCAGGCTTCAGTGTTCGGAAGGACTTTTTTCGTGGCGTTGCAAGCATTGATTTTTTTTTGGTGGGCCCTACTGTAGGCTGCAAGAAGAGTACCTGGAAGAGACTGCCCACTGCCGTGTTGCTCCAGCTGATCCTTCTGAAACTTGCATTGTCCCATGCTTGGCAGCATGGTTACGCCGGCGGTCCAAGGCCGGACCCAGACCAGGACCTTGAGTTTAGGATTTAGGGCCTTTAGGGTTTAGGGTTTAGGGTCAAGCCCATCCACCCACAGACGGAGCATCCTTTCAGAGTTACGTTGAGAAGTCTCTTTGTGTTACTCAAAGGATCATGGGACTTAGTATTTGGGGTTATAAGTAAGGTAACTACAAGTAAAGTTGCTTATAACCCCAATTAAGGTAGATACAACCCTCCTTACTAAGTCCCATGATCCTTAAACCCTAAACCCTTATGGTACCCCTTATCGATCCCTTTTAAGGAACCCTTTAAGGATCATCCTCCAAGTACTGTTCCTTCTCAATCCGAATTCAGGGCTTCTCCTCGCTTTAAGAGAGCTGGGAGGCGATCTCGGGCAGACCGCGGCGACACCTCCGCCACCCAGCAGAGTTTAGATTTTCTGGCACCTACTATGGTTTCCTTAGGAATTAATATCATGCTTATTGCAGTTCTAAGGGGAGTATAGCCTCAATCAGGATCGTCTATGGCTTCTGTTTGTTTTCGTAGGTGTTGCGTTTAGTTGCTTTTGGTTCCTTGCCCAAACCACAGCAAAGGCACGATGCCTCAGACTCAGAGGAGGAGGACGACTCTTTCGCCCGAGCCTCGAGACATTTTTGGCGTCATATAGCAAGCAGTGCTCAGCAGTGCTTCCAAGCGGCTGCAAACTGCGCTGGCGAGTCGATGCCTCATGTCTTCAGACTGTCGGACTCGTAAACACGAGCAAGGTTCTCCAGAGAACTAGCACGGTGAAAGACGGACGGTCTGCACCTGCATCGGGCGAAGCGGACGAAGCGGCCGATGACAGTGCTTGCTCCTCAGTGCTTTTGGGGTCCAGGGCGTCATTTTCTGAATTCGAACAGCCACGGCTACCCAAACCCACTGTGCTCCGAAGTCACTGGCCAAGAGCAGCTAACGTCCTTTTCGCCGGAGAGTTTGCAGGATTGGTTTTTGTATGTTGGTGTTGGGGCCACGGGTCGGGGACTGTTTTGGTGATCGGTGCTCAATTACAGCCTGAGGACTCAGATTCTGGGCCCGGAGTCTGGCATCCGAATATTTCTTCAGTAAAACCCTGTGCAAGGCGGTCGCCTACGACTTCTTCCTCTCTAGGAAAACCGATGAGGTCTTGGAAGCTTCTTGGAAGGCACTGACCCCGAATCCTTGATGTGACGCGGAGGCCCTTCGAGCCAATCCCGGCTTTCGAGTAAAGCCGCTTGGCAAAAAGTGGAGTTCAAATCAGTCACAAAGAACCTTCCCAGCCTATGTCGTGGGATTCTATGCCTGCGGCCAGAAATCAGAAAGCATAACATGCACGCTCATCAATGCATGCAGGTGTTCGTCTTCACAGACTCAGACTGACTGCAGGTTCATATGTGTACATTGTACATACATGCCCATGTATGACACATGTGTGTAACCCGTCATCTCTGCTGTGGAGATACCTTTGCCAACTTCCAAACCAAGGTTTCACACTGTAATGCTTGCCGAGGAACACCTTCATCCATGTGGATGAGGAGGTCGGCACCGGGATGGGACGGACGGAGTCCGATCAGTTCGCGGCCACGCGAACGCAGTCTGACCCCTCAGGCAGGACACTTGGGTGGACCGCGGGACCAAATAAGCATCAACATATCGCTAACAGGAAATCAGGAGTTACATCCTGTTGCAATTGAGGCTGAATTAAATTTCGTATGCTTGAATCGCATCCCCCTTCTATTGAAAAACACCGTCGCCGAGGGGGGGGGGGGGGGCAAATTGTATTTGTAAACCGTTGACTCCAGATTAAACACCCTATAAGTCGGGAAGACAAACGTATTTTGACCTACTGAACCTGTCTTGTCTTAAGACGTACTGTGGAGTAGCGGAGTACCGAAAAAGTGCGATTTACGTGCCCTGGCCAGCGGAAAATGTTATACCCCGTTTTAAAGTCATATTAATGTTTCGGAAGAGTAGCCGGTTGGTCCTGTTTGCTAGGATTCTATGGGGAAATGGGGCCTGTGTTCGACGGAACAAAGAGTAGGTCAAGCTTTCGTCTGACCGCATTATAGTAATCCAAATACTTTCCGGAAACAAACCCGGACATCATTTCCGCCTGTTTAACGTGAATTAAGGCAGTACAAGAGCTAGAAAAGTAGGTGAAATAGCAAGGGCAGGAGCAGGAGCAGTAGCAACTTCCCTCAACATGACAGCAGAGAGCAAACTCCCCAACAATGAAGCACATGTCGATTTCTGTTGGGCGGGGTTGGGGGGGGGGGCCCTGTTTCATGCTACTGGGAAGTGGCTTGCTTGGGTTCCTGAAGCGCCGGCATGCATCACTACTTGTTTCAGGTACACCTGAGAAGCAGTACTGGAGAAGCAGTGATATGCATTTTGGAGTCGCAGTACCAACAGCATTTGGTTGTTAACCTTTGTCTAGCAACCCTTGCTGGAGTGTCACGCCCTTATATAGAACTCTGGGAAGAGCCGCTCATCAGCTGTCGGTTCTGCTGGGTTAGGGCTTCAGTCCACTTAGCTTCCACATCGTCCCGCTGCACCAGATAATTTCAGGCCTTCTCTGTACGCATAATCAGCTGTTTCAAGCTGTTGACCCACTCCGAGATCTTGCGACCTGCAGGCAGCAACGTGCGTTTGCCACGTTGGCCTTCGAGGCTAGCGCCCCGAGTTCCGGCCGTGCCGGAAGATTCTTCCGAGGCATCACGGTGGCACAGTAGGAAATCTCATTACTGGACCATTGATGATCTTGATGAACACGATGAGGAAAGATGATGGGAATGACGCAGGTAGTTTGATGATCTCATAATCAAGATGATGGCAATGATGGTCATACTAGTGTTGACGATTGTGATTACGAGGCCGGGCAAGATCAACGATGGATGACAACCATAGTTGTGTGATGTCTTTGCTGATGTTACTAATGATGTTGTTCTGCTTGCCACAGAAGCCCAATTACCTACGAGAAGGTTGGCGTCCTGTCCTGTTTACAACGACCTAAAGCTAAAGGAACCCACCTGTCTTTGTGGGACTAGGCACTTCTGGTCATGTTTGACACTAGCCCATCTGCCCTTACGGTTCCGATTGCATCTACAACAGAGTGTACCCCAAAAGCGATTCTGACAATCGAGGTATAGGCAACAGTGCTCGTAGGTTCAAAGAGTCCGTTGAGCCGAGCCCGTTCAGCTAAGGCACCGGCCGAGCAGCTTGGCTACAGCAAAGCAAACATCATAGTACCTTTGGGGGTGAATTGGAATACTGCTTTCAGCTGCTGCACAGCTCATTTGAAGCTCCCTCTAGTTCGTGATGCTCCCCAGTGAGAGATGCTCTATATAGTTTGCATGTAAATTTTGTTGGACTTCCAGCCGTGGTTTTTGTTGTCTCTGCAGCACCCGAGTTTTCCTAGATGCAGATGACAGTTTTGAGGTCAGATTCGGACGAGTCTGGCCCGGCGCTGAGACCGACAGCTGCAAGTCGTCCTTTTTTGTGGGTAGCCTTTGCCCAATACTTGACCTCTTGCTGGCAGGTATTTTGGCAAGATCCGAAAGCAGAAAGCATGAGTTCTCACACCATAAGAAACAAACCCCTCAAGAACTCCAGCCGCAGTCCATCCTAGAATGTCCTGATAAGGCGAAAAACGACCAAAGGAGCTGGAGAGGCTGCTGCTTGGGGCATCGTGATTTTGAAGCGGTGGGTTACGCGAGCTTTCCAGATAGTTTCATGGATCCTGTGCAGCTTTTGTAAACTGAGATTCCGCCATTGATGCAGCCTGCTTTCTGCGACTCTAGTGTTTTTTCAAGCGAGTGACAACTTTCTGCCTAGCGTTCCTGACCGTTCCTTTAGCCTGTATCTACCTGCCTCTCAGGACAGAACAATTACGCACCATGCTTAACAAATTCCTTGTCAAAGCTTTCTCTCGGCTTGGAGGTTCGAGACCTGGGACCATTTTGCTGCCCAAGCTCACGGCTACGCAGGGTCCCTGCCCATGCGCCTTAGCTTGATGTTATCGTGGTTTGCGGCTTATCTGGCGAGTGTTTCAGGGTTCTTCCCAACGTTGAGGCCAAATGCCGAAGCCCTGACTCCTGCGGCCCGGAATCGAAGGCCCAACGCTGGTAGGCCCTCGGACTTTTGAGGCCGGGCACAGATGTTCCTCCTATGATGCCAATGATCCCAGAGTCTCGACTTGAAAAAGTCGGGTTGACAAGGCGTGGTGGCAGCACGGCTCACAGGGTATATTGGTAGTACCAGTAGGGGAAGCAGTAAGGAGCTCGTGGCGTTTATTGGAGCTGGTTCTACTGTGTAGGGGTTGGATGGGGTGCTCATACTTGAGTCCGTGCAATGCTTCTGTCCCGGATTGCGTTGAGATGGCCTCTTGTAATGTTATGCGCATGTTAATGTTATGCGCATGTCTCACCATGCATGTTACCCTCGAGTCTTGAGCCATGCCGGACATTTGTACGATCACCCATGATACACGACCGTCTCTAAATTCCGGAGTATCGGTTTCGGGCAAGGGAAACTTACCGAACTCGCCCGAGGGACTCCAAAGCCTCAACTCCAAGAGCTAGGCCGCATCATGGCTGAGCCGCACTCTCAACTCCCCAGAATCCTCCACCGCCTGACTCATACAATCCCATGAAGCCCAATTTTTCCAATGCCGTACACATAGCTTATGGAGTGCGAGAAATCCCATAGGCATAGCTTGTCTCGAAGCCTTGCAGCCATCCCAAGGTTCAATGGCCCAAAGCCCTCACTCCTTCTTCCGGGCACTAATTAACAACAGTTCAAAGGCCGCAAAGCTCAGGTTGGGGTGCCTCAGGAGGGCTACCAGATGCCCGCTGCCTTTGGCCGCTGGGCTGGGCAAGATTTGGGAGATTCGCAAACTTGCCGGCACATCCGTCTTAAGAAAGTAGCAAGATCGTCGTCCGTTTTAACGGCTGCATCAGCGACTCCTCAGACATACTCTTCATACCCAGGGCCCAAACCCTGACATGCGATACTTGAGGGTGCCCAATTATCAATCCTGAAATGACAGCTGTACTGCTCAGGCTGGCCCGACGCCTCTGGCCAGGTGCACTCTGCGAGTGGGCTGAGATTCTGCCAGTTGTTTGTTTGTAGGGCCATTTTGAGCATCCTCTTGACACAAGGGGTACTATCACGTACTATGGGGGCAGTATGCAGGGACCATGCCGAACCGTGCAACCCTGAGGGAGCCCAGCAACAATCATTTAAGCCCAAGGCGCAAGCCCTGAACCCGAAACCCTCGAACCCAATACCCCAAGACCGCGAATGCTGAAACCCTCCACGATTACGGCAGCCCCCAAACCCTGCAGATGACGCTGGCACCTTCAACCGGCCCGGCTTTCGGCCTCGTGCACAGCTTCCACAAGGAGGTTCGGAGTTCGGAGTGTTGGGTTCGTGGGGCTCAAGTATGGCTGTGGCAACTGGAGGATGTAGGGTTCAGTTTCGGTTTTTGTGAGTTTGGGCGGCTTAGGGCTCGGCTGCCGCGAGCCTTCAACCCACGAAATTAGACTCCATAACCTCCTGCACCAGTTGTGTCCCGGCAGCACTCCAGACAAGCACTTGTCCGGCAACGGCTGTTGCGACCGCTTACTATCATGAGAGAAGGGGGATGTTGCTGCAGTTTGCTGTCATATATGGTGATGATGATCATGATGACCATGATGATGACCATGATCATGACGATTACTGTTATTGTTTTGTTGTTCTTATTGCTGTCGATGATGATGATGATGATGGTGATGGTGATGATGATGATGGTCGGAATCGTTATCGATGCAGCATGTGTGCAGGTCCGGGGTTTCGGCCTTGCCAGCCCTGATCTCCGGCAATTTACGAAGGGTCAGGTGCCTCGGACATATGACCGGGAGTCAGATTCAGATGCGGCGGGGCAGATGACTTGAAGTGGCTCCGGCTTGGCGGGATTTCGGGGCTTGTGGGTGTCTGGTAAATGCAAGAATCACAAGTTTAGAAGCTAACACTACAATAGCGGTGTAAGTAAGCTGTTGCAGGAGGCCTCGATGCAGCAGGTTTTAATGTACAGCTTGATGGAGGACGTGTAGGGCGTTTGTGAGAAGCTTTTCGTCCCGCATGGCCGCCGTTGGTGCAGAACTGATCAAACAGATTTTAGGAACTCGCAGTCTGCTATGGTATGCTGTTGCTTCGTAGGAGTGTCTTGAGACTGTCGCGGCTTCCCAGGAAAAAGCAATGCCGCCGCTTTGAAACGATCCCAGTAATGTAGCCTGAAGTCTGAAACTCGTTTTGTCATGGGTTTGTCATAGCACCCATGTCAAGTATGCACTTGGGCTCTTGAGCTTCACCTGGAGCTCTGATGGGGCTACAAGCCCAGACTCCCAAACTCCTCCCCTCATAAGCCTGAGCACATCCCTGTCCATGCGGATGTTTCGACTCAAGGCCTGAAGCCTTAAACCTGGTGCAGCTTACACCCACCTCAGCGAGATGGAGTAGTGAAACAGGCATGCTAAGCAATGCCTCCAAAGCGACTGCTCCACAACGGCTTGTGGATTCGTGGAAGCCCAGAAAATGGAAACTCCCACTACCCCTCCGACCCCAAAGCCGAGGATTACGAGGGCAGATTGTCCGTGATCTCCGGGTCTGAGGTGCAGAGAGGCGGTGTGCCCAAGCTCAGTTGGATGTAACAGCTTTCAGCGCCTTCAAGTTGATATGGGTCTTGGGGTTTCGTGTTTCGAGATCTGAGTAGAAGATGCCCAGGGAGCGGAAGTTTGGATGAGTAATCGATCAGGTGGAGGTTTAACTTGTCCGGTTTCAGTTGCTGTCGGTGTCTCAAGCAGCTGAGACCAGAACCCGACTCCGCGCTATTTCACTCGAAAGCACCCCTTCTCCCCATAGTCTGTTATATGGGAGTTTCCGAAAATAGGGGTACCTTATTTTGAGCTCCTTATAGTAGGGATCCTAATATTTAGGGTAATTACTATATTGGGGTCCCCTGTTTTCGGAAACTCCCATATGCTGTCAGAGCTTAGGTTCAGAAATACTTGATGCAGTTCTCAGACGGGGAGCTCACGAAAGCAGATGGTGTCGGATTCGTGCTCCCTGGCTTGATCGTGGCTTTGGGCACGGGCATTCGGGGGTTTCCCGTTGTTTAAGGACCTCGGGGTAATCTTGAGATTCGCGTGAGAGCATGGAACAGTTGTTGTTTTGAGAGCTTGTCAGGATTTTGATCGGCGTTGCGTTCTCTGCCTCCCTATGGCTGGAGACAATTTTGCTCGGCGCAGTCGCTGAGTTAAGCCTTGTACCATACGAAGGAAACGAAAAAATCTTGGGCATGCTGCAGACGTCCACCGAAACCAACCAACCCAAGATACTGCCGCTGCAACTATGAGGTTTGCATCACGCGTGCCGTGTGCAAAGAATATTCAAAAGATCGTGCCCTGGCTGGAAAAGCTGCTGTCAAAGGCTGTGGTTTTCGAAGGGCTCTTGAAAAGGCAGGCCCTTGCGCAACTTCTCGCTTTCGCATGTCGCTTCGGTTTTGGGATCGTGGCTCAAGCCCCTCGACGTACAGCGACCTTCCCTTGAACTCAACTGTCAGTGCTCTAGATTGCTCTAGGCTTTGTGTCAAGGACTGACATACATAAAGAGGTTGCTGTCGTCGTCCTGAATCGGAAACATCGAGCCCGGGACCACAGAGCATCAACTCAAATCCTACAACTAAGACAGTCCTAAGGTGTCAGTCTTCGTGAATCAGCGCGGGCGAATCTGCATGCGTGTCTTCGGCGACATTCTGAAAGCGAAGAAGCACGTGCGGGCGCTGCAGGCGCTGAGCTCAAAATCTGAAGGTTCGGTAACAAGAGGCTAGGATTTGGGTTTAGCAGGCTCGTTGGGGGACCCCCATGGGGTCTTTTCTCTGTCAGGTGGGTGACTGGATCGAAATGGCAATCGACCTGGAGAAGCTTGGCACCGACTTTCTTTATTCCGACATGATGTTGACAACTCTTGATTGTCTGTCTGTCTGTCTGTCTGTCTGTCTATCTTTTCTGCTCATATGATCGTTGTGGTTTTGGTTGTGGCTCCACGCCGATTTGGTGGACTTGTGTCTCGTTAGATACTGCGGTGCCGAGGTGGCGAAACGCTTTGGTACACATCGGCGGATATCAAGTTCGGATTTTATAAATTGATGTAAACTGAAACACTTCAAAACATCTTCACGCTTTTGTTAGAACCCACTACTTCAACAGAAGTGCAACCTGCTGATAGTAGCAAAATACATACTTATATATATATATATATGTATATATAGTTTTTAGTCATAAGTAAAAAAGCATGTCTCCGCATTCTGCCCAGGGCCTCCAGTTTGCGATTTATCTTCCATGTTGTCTTCGCAAGCGAGGAACAGCATCGCCACTTTCAAGGTGTGGTCGTACGAGACAGTATCTCAGCTGCAAGAGCCCTCCTGCCAGTAATGTGAGCCTTTTGCATATCACGGCTTGGTGACTGTGCAGGGACACGAGGAAGCGACCAAGTCTCCGTCTTTCGAAAGAGTTCGGAAGTGGCACACCATACTGCGCGAAGGTCGCTTCTGGGTACATGCCCATGGAGCCAGACTCCACTGCCGAGTTCCACTACGGGCCGTTTGGTCGCACCTGTGGTTCTTTCCCGAACGCAACAAGAACGGCAACAGCAGTAGCTGTAGTTCGCGTATCGGAGGAAAGGACGGCAAAGCCAGCCTGTCAGTGCGATCAGCTAACAGTCATGTTCCGTGACGGAATTGTTTGGGTAATCGGTTGCTAAAGGATTTGGCGGTGCTTGGCGCCAAGGGTATCCAGCATCCGTCCTGACGCCAGGAAGAGGCTCGCACAAGCAAATCAGCTTTCTGCAAAGCCGGCCGCTTTGCTGCAGTGGATTCTGCGAGGATCAAGATGTGCACCGGTGATGATAGAATGGCTCTATCCAGATCATTTCACAATCCAGGGTCCTTCGAATAGTGAACGTCGGTTCCTGCAAATGCACAGCTGCTGCGGTCCAAAAGCAGGCACAAGAATGCTCCGCTATCAGGAAGCGGATAATCTTACAGTTCCATGTCGCTTGACATTTGAGGTGAAGCTGAACGTTGGTCACTTCGCCTGCGTGATTCAAAATGTCGGAGTTACGGAGACGCGGCAGCAAAGCGGGAGGGAAGGTGACGAGGGCGGAGCTTATGAAGTCAAAGCCTGCGCATACTTTAAGGAACCGTTGCAAGTCACCTTGTTGGACCAAGGTCACTATGGGCTCCTAATCGAATCCGCGTGGAGATGCAGCCATACAGAGCAGATCCAGATTGCGGGTTTGAGCTCAATCTCAGTTTCACCTGAAGAATTGTGAAACCTGGTTGCGAAGGATCGGTGGGCGGATGCCCCTCCGCAAAAATGACAGTGTTCCCTGTTTCACCTCAAGATGTAGAGAAGGTTGCAAGTTGAGTTTGTCGGGCATGCACAAAGTGTACAGGACCAAGCCTGCATACCCCGACATCAAAAATACTCGGAGGCTCATGGGCGGTCGTAAGTATGGATTAGAGTTTGTACTTCACGGTGTTCTTACACATTGAGACCACAGAAACGTATAGTGAGGCTGTGACTTAGAACTCTGAACCGTACTTATGACTATCCATGAACCTCCAAGTAGTCTAAAAAGTCCTAATAGTTGCTATGGCAACATATACCGTCTGCATGGCCCGGCTCGTGCAGACATCTGAAAACAAAGCCTTTGCAACTCCGCGGGTTGCTGCAGCTGCTCTTGACTCTGGGTCCTGCCGGTGTCACAACTTACAATAGGGACCTATGCCTTCGCGTGTGAGGGTCTAGAGCCTATGGGGGGTAAGAACCTTGAGTCAAAAGCCCTGCAACCTCAGGATGGGTGATGACGTTGAACAGCCCAGATAGGTAGGTCCATTATTTTGCGACTTTTCCCTGAAAAAGCTGCCGGGCCGCAGGACTTCAAGGAGCCCGCACAGCCGCTGAACGGCCTGGAGGCTTCCTTGCACGTCGGGGAGGGACTTGAGATGCAGAGTCTTTTCCTGTATCGTGCGCCCAGCCTGTGATGAGGGGGAATGGCCTGGCTAGAAAGAAGTCATCCCGAGATATCGATGTCCTGTCGGTGGAACCTGACAAACCTGATTGCGCACAATAGGTCTCAAAATGGATGGCAACTGAACCTGTTCATGCAAAAGTCTTTCTGATTTTTGGTCCTACATGGCCCACCTTCTACACGCGAAGACCCGCAGTGGGCAGGCACCTCGTTCCCGTCGCGCGGTGGATGTCGTGAAGTACCTGTGGGAGGAAGCGCAGTGGGACCAGGCGATTCCCTGATCTTGAATGATGCTACAGCTCCTGATGTCCGAACTTTGCTCTTCGAGACACTGTTGCCACAGGGATATGCTTGTTCGCGGAATGTTTTCCGTCGCGGCTTCATGTGCAAGCTCGCTCAAAGCTTTGGCTCAAGGCTTGAGCTCTTCGTAACAAGTGAGCAAACCCAGCAATAGGGTTGCAAGAACTTCGAGGCTTCTGGCATTGGTGTCTGAGACCTACTGTTGACGATCTGCGGTTCGATCCCGACTCCCCTGTTTCCGTGACCTGATGCTGATGCTTGTAGCTCTTTCGTACTTGTAGGGTAAAGCCAGAACTGCATTCTGGAACAGCTAGCAGATAAACGCAAGTTCTACTTTGTTTTCGCGTCGGCTGCTCTCCACCGCCATGAGGCTCGCTCCGATAAAGCGATCACAGTGTCGCCACAGCAAGGTTGACCAAACATTGTGTTTGCCGTCTCCGGGGCCCGCTTCAGTCCGTGCTGTGGGCTGCTTGCAGGGCGTGTTTTTTGCAGCCCTCGAGCAGTGGAAGTCCTGAGCTTCCCCCAGATCAAACAGGTACATATCAAGGGTTTACTTAGACGAGAAACACTGCAGGATACTGCCAGGTCGGTCTGTCTCTGGAGTATCCAGGAACCCCTCAACTCAACACTCAAGAACCTGGAAGCAGCCAATCCGTTCGCTTCCCTGGCTTCGTATCCTCACAGTCCGTCTGAAACAGGGGTGGCAAGAGGAAGCGGCACAACAAGAAGCTCGACCTTAACAAGGCGAGGACCTTCAAGGGGTGAGCGTGGAGACTTAGGGTTTTCTGGCACATGCCTGTCAGTGTCATCGTCTGTTGTCATGCTTTATGATCATGAGCTTGTGGCAGTCAAGCATCTGGGCATCTGAACAGATGACTAGAGACCCGGACAGCAGGTCTCTTGATTCAGCGAGCTTCTATGACACGTGAAGCCGTCTGAAGTCGCACCAGCTCTTCGGTCATGATATGTAGCACTTCGTGCGACGGCCAGGTGCAGTTCAAAGTTGCAAAGAAGCGTGGGAAAACCGTGGTGACGCGCATCACTGAGTACATCGCATGCTGGACATGACTATATGCATTGATGCAATGTGTGGGTTGGTATCAGAGCCCAATCATCGAGACTGGACTTCAGGATTTGGTGTTTACTGTTACTGGGTCTGAAGCTTGAGGTCACCTTGCTAGCGCCATGACACTGCAGGGCCGAGAAAGCCGTCCAAAAGACAAAGGCTGGTGATGTTTTGCATGTCTTCCTCATGCTGCAGTTGAACTGATGCCACTAGGCTCTAACCGGCGGATTGCGTCGCGCCGTCCGAAGGATAGCATGTGGTGGTGTAAGGCGTGGTTGCGACAGTTCTTCTGACACCGCAGATGAGCCCCGCAGTAAAGTTTCCTGAGCCCGAATGCGTGGCTGTGTTCAATCATGGTGCAGGTGCTGCTGTATCTATTCAGGGTTCCAAAATGTACCAAAGCATCCAGGTCCTGAACTCAGAGCTGCATCCAAAGTGCCTTCAGGCAGAGATTGAAGATGAGATCAAGAAGCTGAAAGAAGCTAAGCCAGGGTCCAAGCAAGCCTTGTTTGTCGATGGGGCCTGGCCGTCCAAGCTGGATTTTGGGGTGCAGGGTTTGCAAGTTTGAGTGCGTGGTTGCTTTCGGGAGTTCTGGTGATTGATATTTCTTGTTGCTGATTGTTTTGGGGTTTCCGGTTTTGGGCTCTCGGGTTTCAGGATTTACAGGGTTCAGGACCAGGGTTTCAGGATCTCGAGGCTACAATTCGAAGGTCAATTGCCAGGCTCTTTGTTGATTGCTGTTGAATGCAAGCTGTTACGTCTCAACGCAGCAGCAGCAGCAGCAGCAGCCGGCAAGTCCACAGGTGCCTAAAGCCCTATAGGCCCAGGTTGAAGGTTCACAGGTGTTTAAAAATCTAAAGACCTAATCATAGAGCCCAATAGAATCAGAAGAAATACACGACCCGGCATAAATCCAGTGCAGCCCTCTAGAAGCATCTTCGGGTAACCTCTGAAAGTGCTTGTCTAAGGAAGGCCGCGGTCAAGTCCAAAGCTCGACGAAGGAAGCAGCCTGCGTACCGATGCTGCAATTCATTTATGGACGCTTGTGACAGTATAGCGTGATATTGATGATGGTGGAGAGAATCGCTATGGCAAAAGCAATGAGTAGTAAGTAGCAACAGTATTTTGAGTAGTACTGGCAATCATTCTAGTAATAAGCTTGAGAGCTGCGTCAATGGTAGTCAGGAAGGAGCCTCGGGTTTGCTTTTCTTGTAGAGCTTACGAGAAGACGTTGGTTTTCAGGTTTGATGTTGGAGGGCATAAAACCTAGGGACGTAGGTATTTGGTTTCGGCTTGGCCTTTACGGTTTATGGGGCCTGCGCGCTTTAGGACGTGATATGGGCCTTCAGGGTTGAGGCTTGGGTGGTTCTTGAAACATAGGGCTTGTGGCCACCAAAGACGCACATCCGAGGCCCATCTTGGAGCGTAAAGCGCCTTGAGCCCGGGAGTTGCGGGAACTTCCATTTCTTGGGTATAGGGTTCAGGGCTTCAGTTTCAGGTTTTCGGCAGTTTAGGGTTTGTCGAACTCTTGGGGTGAATGGATATCCATCGGGTCCGAGAATTCCACTATATGCTTGGGCTTTCCAAGACTCAAATTCGGGTTCAGCCAGGCTTCGGGTGTTGCAGTGCAGGATGTGGGTTTACGTACTGGGGCTCGCGAGCCAGAAGATCAAGGTCGTCGGATGTGGTTTCTCCTTCGCGGCTAATGCCTGTCGATTTCTTGCGGGAGGGGTAAAAACAGGGCCTTTCGGAAAGGTTTACCAATTCCAGCCGTCTCTCTTCCGGCCTTGGTGACATTATGTAGATGTAGACTCTGTGACAAACTGTTCGAAATCGGAGGTACCGTATATGGTCACCAATGCACACGGTTACAGGATACCTCCACGAGTTGCATGCCAGCAACCCTCTTAAATTCGATGTACATGGTTCCGAGCACCAGCAGCAAGAGGGGGGCGAAAGTCATGTGGGTACTAAAAGAATAGAATAGTCATACATGTAGATGGGCATTGTTACTTTTGCGCATGCGATGCAAAACAGGTCAACTGGGGGCAGCGAAAGCTCACACGCTGTAAAGGCTTCAAGCTGAGGGGTTGAGAACTGGTGAGGTTGCGGGATACTAAGCCCCAATCCAGAATCACATGCAGACCCTGAGGCTCGACTACATGCCTGTGGATGCCGGCATGCGCAAAGACTTGGAAGCTTTTGCCTTACCGGAGTAGCCACAGCTCGCTTTCAGCAGAAGGGCTACAGAGGGGAGGGGGTGGCGTGTGTCGTGCTGCTGTGCATTCAGAGTTGCTCAGGCGCGCCGCGCACGGCGGGAAGCCACGCGCGCAGCCCGCGAGGAGCGTCGTGCAAGGCCACGGTTATCTGCTGTATCTGGAGAAGAGAAGAGTTAGCAGGTTCCAGGTGTCCCGTGTTTCCGGGTTCAAGGACTTGAGGGTTGGGGCGTTGGTTCCGGCATGGAGGGGAAAGCGAGCCATCAAAATGTTGCATGCAGGAGTGAAGGTTTGGGTTTTCCCGGCCTCGAATGTGATTTCTGCTATGTTCAAACCTCTGTCTTTCAGCTGGTGATCCGTCTAGAAACCAGGAAGTGCACAGACAGGATGTGGTATGAACGGCCTGGTAACCAGGTACGTTGGATTCTAGCCTCTGCTATTGGTACTTCTTCACTTTAATTTGTCTTGTGCAGGAGACAAGAAGCCAGAGAGACGAAGGAGAGGCCGGTCCCTGCCACCCGAACCCAGAGAACTAGGACGCTCATATCATAATAATAATAACAATAATAATATTAATAATATTAATAATAATAATAATAATAATAATAATAATAATATAATAGTAATATAATAATAATAATATAATAATAATGATAATAATAATAATAATAATAATAGTAATGATAAAAGTGATAACAATAATAATAATAATCCTACTCCTACTGCATGCTCCTGGAGAGGCTGGGGAAAGAAGAGGTTTCCCTCAAGGACGGGCACGTGTTCATGCATGTCCGTCATGTCAGAAGGGATCGCAGCTTTGGACTGCCCGACACCGACTAAACCGACACAAAACAGACCCCGATATATGGACGATGTTAAAGGACGTACTTGGTGGAGACTTCTTCGGAGCTGACGGCGTTGCGCCCGACTTGGACTGACCACCTGTACATCTCACCAGTGTCCGTCATCATGTTGTTGTACGTCATGCTTTTAGCACCGCTTGTCACGATATGGCGTGCCGTGATCCATCGAAAGCTCTGAGACTCTGGGCACCTTCACCTGCCCGTTGTACAAAACGGCCGTGAATATTCGGCAAAGGTCCTAGCAGCGCCAGTGCAGCCGTTGCCAGCAAGTGCAGACGCATAGAAATAAAGGCATGCGCAGTTAGAGAACACCTACTACATAAGGATACAAAGCTGTAGTGACATCCTGCTGCTGAGCTGCTGACGGCAGTAAGACACGACATGCTTGTCCAGTTTCACCACAGGTTACGGGAGGAAGCAAGATCGAAATCAGTGCAATCGGCTTCCGAGCAGATTTGCTCAGATGCTGTCAGACTGCGTGCCGCCGCTATAATTAGTTGCTCTGCTGCAGGTAGACCCTGTTGGACGCATAATGGCAGAGTTCAGCGAGGACTGCGTATACGAGGACACATCTGCGAATGCATGACAGATCCTGGGGGGATGCGTGAATCTGTCGAGTTACAAGACCATGTTAGTAAGTTGCCTGCATGTGCAACCCGTAGGCCTGCACTGTTTCTTGCGGGATTGTTTGCAGCCATTCGAACTGTCATAGCTTCATTCAAAGGTTTCGTGCTCTCTTGCATGTTTGCCCCGGATGATCTGCAGGACCTGTCGCGCGAGCAGGAGGCGTTCGTCGGCTTTGAGGAAGTGAAGAGGCGAGTAGTCCCAGTGGTGGAGCTGCCATACAACATGGAATCATGCACCTGTCGGACACAACAGCTGAGCTGATTAACTTTCTGTGCCATGCCAGGTATCAGAAAGAGACCAAGGACAGCACGCCTGACAATCTGAGGCTGACTGCTCGCACCAGGAGTGTGCAGTCTAGTAGTCTAGTTTACCAGTGTATAAGCCATGCAGAGTCTGCAGAGTTTGCGTGCAGCTTGCAGGTTTTTCTTGGATGAGGTCACCGATGGTGACAAGGTGCCACGCATCGTGGTTTGACCTGCCCGTCTGTAGTTCCACTCACATCGACATCACTCGGCAGTAAATATTCAACGCTGCCATCCTACTTCGGAGACCTGCACCATTACATGCACCTGTTGCAGAGTTGCTCTACATGTCGGTCGCCTTGAGGTTGCAAGCTTCTGAAGCTACGATAATCCTTCTGCAAAGACATTTGCCCATACCTCTGCAAACAAGTGGACGGCCTTCTGCAACCGTCAGGCCTGCACAGTTCTGTGGCACGTGGAGGCTCGCCATATGCACTTTTACTGTGCAGGATTCCTAGTCGACATAGTGCCGTGGGTTCGCAGATTGGAATTGTGGACCTGCACTTGTATTTTCCAGTCAGGGTGAGGTGCTGGGGCTGAACACAGGCCTTGCTGTAGAGACTGGCTGGTGACTTGTCACCTGCCTTGATGCAGTTCAACTCGCGCATGTCTCCGCGTGGCGTCAGCTACTACGAGCTGAACGAGGAGGGCAAGGTGCAACGATTGCAGAAGTCATTTTAGATAAGTTTTCGGATGGTCTACTTCCAGTTTTAAGTTTGGCGGTTGTTACAATGAGATTCTCACTCAGACTCGCAACTTGTGGATCCGGACAGGTCATGTGATGTTCAAGCGGCCTGTCACACAAGCCCACACCTGATTTGGTCCTCTGCGGCACCGACCCGGGTTTCGAGGGGTCCCCGAATCGTCGGTCTAGCCTGGGATCGAATTTTCCGGAGTTAAAGTGCATGTTCCGGGTTCATGGTTCTGTGAATGGTAGCCGCGACAGTGCCTATTCATTGGGCCTCGCCGATGTTTTCACCACGGCCTCGAAATGATCCGAGTCCTGCCGTAAGGACACGGGATTGGATCAGTTCAGAAGCATCAAGCCTTCAACAAGCCTGACCTCCCAAACTTCGCAGGTGTGCTATGTTCGATCTGCCTACGACATCAACTTCTGAGCGCCAGAAGATGAAGACTTATTCACGGGTTAAGGGCATGGTGCGTGTCGCCTTGCTTGTGTGTGTGTGTGTGTGTGTTTTTGCATACGTGTTCATAACCTGGTGTTAGAGAGTATCCAGCCTGCTCCCCGCGCGAACTGCTACTGCCGAGTTTTGAACATGACTTATATGTCTGATGCCGATGTAGCGGCGAAGAGGACACGAACGGAAATGGAATTTGGATCCTGAGTGAACATAGCTACGAAACGCTTAGATCAGACTGATCAGACCTGAAGCCATCTGAAGCCACTCCAAACCATCCAATCAGAACACCTGTAAGACTGCAAGACTCCGAACAACCCAATCACAAGACCAGTCTGGCATCGAAATCCTACATGGACACTGCTTCAGGATATTCCATATGCTGCTGTTAATGTCAGTGAGCTGGAGCTGGGTACTTCAAGGACCTTCCTCGCTCTGTTTGTAGGGTTAAGGCCCAAAAGGCAAGAGCAGCTCAAGCACCCTTGAAGTACCATCCAGCAACAAATTTTCTAGTTTTTTTCAGGCATCGAGGCCTCAGATTTGCGAAGTGTGCAGAGCATGTGGATCAAAACTGTGCTGCATCGCCCCCTCGAGCTAGGCTTTAGGCAATAGGACCGCCAGAGAATTCCGATCTTGCATTCTTGCTGATTCACGAACCGGCCCGCGTAGAACGTGCGAGAGGCCAACAGGTCCCCCCCCCCGCGGTCTCAGCAGTCAGAGACTTGCTGCGTCTCTGCTCAGACCGCCGCTGGCCTCAAGTGTCCCCCAGACCTGCAGTATCCTGCAGTCAGCTACCCAGATGCACTGCTCTTCGACATTCCCTGCTCATCGTGGTCTTCGGGGTTGAGAGTGAAGTGTAACTGCCCGCTGACCAGGCAATAGGCGGAGTCGGTTGACCAGACATCGCTTAACCGGTGTAGCCTGAGCCCCCACAAAAATCTCTCTGCCGCGATGGGTGCTGTACATGGTCATGATGGAAGTCCGAACGTCGGAGCCCCAGCGGAGGTGCTTGCAACACTGAGCTCGGGGTGTGCTGAAATCGCAAGAAGACGTAGAGGCTACACAGGGGCACAATGACAAACAGAGTATTTCTGGATGTCAATATCTCAGAGCTTGCTTGATAATGAAACCAGATGGATGAATCCCTTCCCGAGCACTGATGAGGAGGCCATCGTGGACTTCGACCAGGCCTTGAAGCTGGCACCGCAAGATGCCTTGGCGCTGACTGGCCGGGGAGAGGCCAAGCGCCAGCAGGGCAAGCATGCGGAGGCCATCGTGGATTTTGACCAGGCCTTGAAGCTGGCACCGCAAGATGCCTCGGCGCTGAAGTGGCGTGGCGATTGCAAGCTCATGCAAGGCAAGGCCTTGAAGCTGGCACCGCAAGATGCGGATGCGCTGAAGTGTCGGGGAGAGGCCAAGCGCCAGCAGGGCAAGCATGCGGAGGCCATCGTGGATTTTGACCAGGCCTTGAAGCTGGCACCGCAAGATGCCTTCGCGCTGAAGTGGCGTGGCGATTGCAAGCTCATGCAAGGCAAGTATGAGGAGGCCATCGTGGACTTCGACAAGGCCTTGAAGCTGGCACCGCAAGATGCCCTCGCGCTGAGTGGCCGCGGAGAGGCCAAGCGCCAGCAGGGCAAGCGTGCGGAGGCCATCGTGGATTTCGACCAGGCCTTGAAGCTGGATTCACAAGATGCCTTCGCGCTGATGTGCCGGGCCAAGCGCATGCAGGGCAAGTGTGCGGAGGCCATCGTGGATTTCGACCAGGCCTTGAAGCTGGAACCACAAGATGCCTTCGCGCTGAAGTGGCGGGGAGTGACCAAGTGGCAGCAGGGGAAGTATGCGGAACGCTTCGTGGACTTCGACCAGGCCTTGAAGCTGGCACCGCAAGATGCCCTCGCGCTGACTGGCCGGGGAGAGGCCAAGCGCCAGCAGGGCAAGTACGCGGAGGCCGTCATGGATTTCGACCAGGCCTTGGAGCTGGCACCGCAAGATGCCCTAGCGCTGAGAGGCCGGGGAGAGGCCAAGCGCCAGCAGGGCAAGCATGCGGAGCCCGTCATGGATTTCGACCAGGCCTTGAAGCTGGCACCGCAAGATGCCTGCGCGCTGAAGTGGCGGGGATTGACCAAGCGCCAGCAGGGCAAGTACGCGGAGGCCGTCATGGATTTCGACCAGGCCTTGAAGCTGGCACCGCAAGATGCCCTCGCGCTGAGAGGCCGGGGAGAGGCCAAGCGCCAGCAGGGCAAGCATGCGGAGGCCGTCATGGATTTCGACCAGGCCTTGAAGCTGGCACCGCAAGATGCCTGCGCGCTGAGACGCCGGGGAGAGGCCAAGCGCCAGCAGGGCAAGTACGCGGAGGCCGTCATGGATTTCGACCAGGCCTTGAAGCTGCAACCACAAGATGCCTCGGCGCTGAGTTGCCGGGGAGAGGCTAAGCGCATGCAGGGCAAGTGCGCGGAGGCCATCATGGATTTCGACCAGGCCTTGACGCTGTCTCCGCAAGATGCCCTCGCGCTGAGGGGACGGGGAGGGGCCAAGCACCAGCAGGGCAAGTACGCGGAGGCCATCGTGGACTTCGACAAGGCCTTGAAGCTGGCACCGCAAGATGCCCTCTCGCTGAGGGGCCGGGGAGAGGCCAAGCGCATGCAGGGCAAGTGCGCGGAGGCCGTCATGGATTTCGACCAGGCCTTGAAGCTGGAACCACAAGATGCCTTCGCGCTGAAGTGGCGCGGAGTGACCAAGTGGCAGCAGGGGAAGTATGCGGAACGCTTCGTGGACTTCGACCAGGCCTTGAAGCTGGCACCGCAAGATGCCCTCGCGCTGAGGGGCCGGGGAGAGGCCAAGCGCCAGCAGGGCAAGCATGCGGAGGCCGTCATGGATTTCGACCAGGCCTTGAAGCTGGCACCGCAAGATGCCTGCGCGCTGAAGTGGCGGGGAGTGACCAAGCGCCAGCAGGGCAAGTACGCGGAGGCCGTCATGGATTTCGACCAGGCCTTGAAGCTGGCACCGCAAGATGCCCTCGCGCTGAGAGGCCGGGGAGAGGCCAAGCGCCAGCAGGGCAAGCATGCGGAGGCCGTCATGGATTTCGACCAGGCCTTGAAGCTGGCACCGCAAGATGCCTGCGCGCTGAAGTGGCGGGGAGTGACCAAGCGCCAGCAGGGCAAGTACGCGGAGGCCGTCATGGATTTCGACCAGGCCTTGAAGCTGGCACCACAAGATGCCTCGGCGCTGAGTTGCCGGGGAGAGGCTAAGCGCATGCAGAGCAAGTGCGCGGAGGCCATCATGGATTTCGACCAGGCCTTGACGCTGTCTCCGCAAGATGCCTTCGCGCTGAGGGGACGGGGAGGGGCCAAGCGCCAGCAGGGCAAGTACGCGGAGGCCGTCATGGATTTCGACCAGGCCTTGAAGCTGGCACCGCAAGATGCCTGCGCGCTGAGACGCCGGGGAGAGGCCAAGCGCATGCAGGGCAAGTGTGCGGAGGCCATCGTGGATTTCGATCAGGCCTTGAAGCTGGATCCACAAGATGCCTTCGCGCTGAAGTGGCGGGGAGTGACCAAGTGCCAGCAGGGGAAGTATGCGGAAGCCGTCGCGGACTTCGACCAGGCCTTGACGCTGCAGCCGGAGTGTCTGGAAGGTCTGCGTCTGCACGGCGAACCTAAGTGGTTCTTCGACCGTTCCCTTGACCTGCGATCAGTTTCGGGCCAGATGTTTCGGTGGAGCCGCTGGGCCATCGTTGGAGCCGGCCCCGTGGGCTTGTGCTTGGCCTTGTCGTTGGCAGAATATCAGATGGACGTCGGTCTGGGAGAGCCTCCTAGAGAACCTCTTGTCACTGTTTACGAGAGTCGGTGGCTCGTGCCGTCGGAGGGCGGTGGGTGGAAACGCAATCTAGCAGTCCGTGCCAGGGACCAGGTGGTGACGTTGCAGGATGCGGTGGTGCAGCTGTTTTCCGAAGCAGTCCAGACTTGCCTTGAGGGTGAGCACGTGTGGCTTCACTCCCGGAACATCCCCGTGGCCGAGATTGAAGACAAGCTGCTTCAGAAAGCACAGGAGATGCCCTTCTGCAAGTATATCCGCATCGAAAAGTCAGAGCGCCTTGCCCGGAAACAAGACCAAGCTGAATTCATTCAGGGCTTGCCAGCGGATTTCATTGTGGCTGCAGACGGCGCTGCCTCTCTCTCGAGGCGTGCGTTTCCAAACAGGTTCGTGTGCCCAGACTCGAGGGGCTTTAGCATCGAAGAGCAGCGGATCCGGCTAGCGGAGACAGAAGATGGCTATGCATATGCAGACCATGTCTTGGGTATCATTTTGCAGCAAGATGCCTGCCCTCCCCAGAAACAGTCCTTGAACGTGATCTTCACCCTTGCCCAGAACATCTACCTCTTGAACTCGCAGAAGGGCTCCAAAGGCTTCCTCAACATCCGTGTGACTCGAGAGGAATTCGAAGCCATCGAGAGGGAGACACCGGGCTTCCGAGGCTGCCCGTTTGGAAGCCCCATCCAGCTCGAATTGGAGGAGTCCCTCGATGCTGACGACACGAATGCTTTCCACAAAGTTAAGCTTCCGTGGCTGAGGCGCCGCATCGAGGAAGGCTTGAAGCTCTTCGGTATGCGCACAGAGCACATGTTGGGCATCACGGGCTTTCAGCTGATGCCCGCCTATGTTCAACAGTTCTGCAGCGTTCTGCCGGGAGAAGGACACTCTGACCAGCAGCGAGTGCTGCTCCTTGCAGGTGACGCGGCCATCTCTCATCACTTCTGGCCAGGTCGGGGGCTCAACACAGGTCTGAAGAGCGTGAAGGCCATCGTCCGCATGCTTGAGAGTCCGACGGTGGCAGAAGGCTTGCAGCGATACAACAGCTTCATGACCAAGCTCCGCATTCGTGAGATGCAGGGCCGGTCCGGCTCGATGATGCAAGAGTCCGTGCAGTTGGGCTGGGGCTCTCAGCTGCTGTCCAATGCTGCAGAAGATCTGATCGTAGCTGCCAAAAGCAGTGAGGCGATCAACAGAAGATACTTCCTGAAGAATTGCAAGCTTTGGCGTGACCTTCTTCAAAACAACCCAGAGTGGGGTCATGACCCGGTAACAGACAGTCTCTTGCAAAGACGCATCATGACTGAAGTTGCCAAGCCGAAAGCACTTGAGTTGCACCTGATGGTCCGCAGTGCCTTTGATAACGGCCCCGGCAGGGCAGCCGGCTGGCCCACTTCGCGCCAAGGAGGGCGCGAGGTCGCTCCAGCCGATGATGAGCACTGGGCGTAGATTCGAAGAATGTTTAGAGCGTAATCGCTGAGTTGTTCTGCTCAGCCTGCAGAGTCCACAAAATTGAAGTCCTTGGGGAAAGCACCACTGCCACGAAAGCACCCTGCGAAGCCAGGGTAGCTCTGGTGCCAAGATTATAGCAGCATCTCAACCTACTGCATGCGGCATGAAAAGGTTGCGAATCCTGTTGCTGCTTTGCACTAGCTTCGCTTGTCCGGACCCTGCCGAAGACTTCTCGCACAACTTTCCCTCTTCCTGCATGCTTCGGCTCGGAGATCCAAGCCTTCATGTAGCCAATCCCGGGAGCCCTGGTGTTGCGAAGGCTGGTGTGCGGTTTGCGAGCGGCATGCGAGCTGATCCTGGTCCCGACCTACGACAGCCTGAGACTTCCAGGCTCGCACCTGGCCACACATGAGCGCTTGCCACGTCTACTCTACCATCGGGCCCCAATGAAACTCTCTCGAATTCCTGTAATTATTATTCAAGCCTGCCCTCTGACACGGGATGTGAGATGGAACTCAATGGAGGTGAAGTGTCGTCAGCCAGTAGTGGGTGAACGCAGAAAGTGAGACGTTCTCCCCGCCCCTTCCAAAGCTTGCATTACTGACTTTCCTTTGTAGCCACCAGCGAAAGCTATAAGAACTATCATGATATCGAGTTAGATCCCACGGCATCCACATTCTAGATGAAGAGAGAAGATTTGACCCCTTCATTGGCATTCAACTGTAGCAGCCTAGCTTTGATTTACATCTTGACCCCATAGTACCTATTCAGATGCTTCGCGGGACGTCTCTGCGTTTCTAAAGCTGCAGGGCACGCATTGCTCTGATTGGAGCCGGCTCCTGGGCGCAGGCGCGACAACAGCACCTACCAGCTTCACGAACACGGAATGCGGTCTGCGAGTTTTGAGTTGATAAATTCGCAGAACATGCTGAAGCAGCGGTTGGCAGCAATACTTCACGATGCACAGCACTCCGGTTTCAAATCGAGCGGCATGCCACATCACGACATCTTAGTGTGTGTTGCAGGGATGGCACCTACCTCACCTGCGGTGCAACTTGCCAGAACCAGAGCCTCCATACGTTTCTATCGAACACTATCCGACACTGTCCGAATTTATTGGTGAGCCCGCCTCGACCCCTGCCCCCCTCGCATCTGAGGCAATCCGGCGGCGCATCTGGTGGCCATCGTTGACCCTGCCGAGACGACCTGGAGCAAATACAACTTGGACATGATGCCGACACCCGAGTTGGCAACACTCTATGGGGAGGCCCGTCAGCAACGAGAGTGTTGTGAGGGTACTCGCAATCTTGTGTATGATTCGTCCAAATACAGGCCGAACCAGTACGCACGTATGTGTAGATGAAGCACATAATTAGTGGATGCCGAATTTACTGAGGTACCTTTGTTCCAAAGCTTCGCTGAGTTTCTGCAGTCGGACATCACCAAGACCACGGATGGTGTCATTATATCCTCCACGCATTCGACCCATTGTGAACTAGGCAGGAGCAGATTCACCTGGGTAGACCTGCTCGGCCAATCCAAAATGTTTTTCACGTCCTGGCAAGAAGAATCTGATGGTATCGGATAGCGGAACGGTGCAGCAGCCTGCATAGTCAACTTGTTTTGTTCATCGCCCATGCTTTTAAGCTAATTCTATTTTGAAGCAGGACTGCAGGCGGCAGCAGCTGGCTTCCACATCCTCGTGGAGCGGCCTGGACTCAGATATGGAGATGTTCAGTGCAGTAAGGGGATTTTCACTACCAGCAGCTTGAAAAGTTTGCTGCATCCAGCCATAGAGACAAGCGTTGACAAGCTTACTTTCGTGCCAGCCTGGGACAGGAAGCCGATGACGGCCAATGCTGCAGAGGCTGTGGCACTCGCGGCCGCTGCCGAACGCATGCCACTTGCACTGAAGCTGTTCCGACACCGCAACATGTCACCCGGAACTTAGATCAACAGAGTGTTAATTAAGTTGCGCAAGCGCAAGCCTGCAAGCACCCCAAGGGATATTCGGTCCAGGGCCAACTCATTCCAACTCTAGACTTGCCGGACTGAGGAAATCATCGAAGAAAGCCTTCATGGTGTGCCCTGGCAAGACTAAGAAGTTGCAAGGAGCTAGTCAGCCCCAAACTGGGGCCGCCGTTAGCCTTAATCCCAATTCCGAGTGAGAGGCCCTCCAAACTCCGAGGAAAACTGCCAAACTCCTAAACTAAAGCAGAAGTCCCGAAACCCAAGCTGCGGAGAGGAACCACTCTGCCAACTTCACACGCCACGCACTTCGCGCCCGTGAGCTGGTGCAGAGCCACCTCGGGGAGATCGAGCATGTGACCTGCCCCTGGGCGGCTTCCTTGGTGGGCTTCGTTTCGGAATAATTCGTTAGGTGTTCGTGGGATCCTAGACAGGGCTTCGGGGTTTAGGGCGGGTCTGAGCGGTCCAGGACTCCAAACCCTGGACAGCTACCGGGTGTTTAAATCTTAAGTGCAGCCTTAAACCCAGGCCACATGATCAGAGAGCGGGAGTTCTTCGAAGACCCGGAGAATCGACTTTGGGTGGCCGCCGAGGGGTCCATGACTGGAAATGGGCTCCTGGGCTCGGTCTGCGGATTGTTAAAGTTGGGGATGTGGGATCTGTAGGGCCTACATCTTCCTCGGTTTGGAATTGAAGGCTGTCTCGCCTGGAGTTAGGGACCTGAGAGTGATGTTGAGAATTGAAAAGGGTCGCAGCTGGGGGATCACGGTTTCTTCTTGGTAAAACAGTCTGGGAAAGCAAGCCGCCAGAATGGCAGCAGCCTGTAGCACCTGAAACATCTCGGGGAATCTTCCTTGAATTTATACTAGCCGTGAACTTGAGAGTATGATCTCGGCTGATCTCTTGAAGCTCAGGTTTGCTTGGGGGCAGAGCTGCCACACCCTGGCCTGGGCCCCTCTGCAAAATAAAGTTGACACAGAGGTGTCAGGCAGGCTGTTGGAGGGAGGGGCCTTCTTCTTGAGAGGCATGATTCGCAGGCCAGCAGCGGACTCATTCGTGCCGTGCAGGACTATGCAGCTGGGCTCTGAACTTCGAACTCCGAAAACCGAGGTCTACAGGGTCACCGGGCTAGAGCCCGAAAGCGTTTTCTGCAAGATGGCCTGCTCCAAGAAGACGGGTGCGGACATCTTCACGTCGGCGCTGATCCAGTGCGCCAATGGGGCCACGAACCTGGGACCAAGGTAGCCGAAAATTATCACTTCATTTGAGGACCCTTAGTTCAGCATCAAGACACCCTCTCTGATGTAGTCTGCCACGCCATCCAGCCATTGACCGAAGTATGATGTCGACGATGACTACTTTCAGTCCTTCAGCTGCAAGCTGCAGCTGCTTTCGAAATCTTGCAGTAGCTTTAGAGCATGTTCGTTCGCGAGCAGTCGTCGTTCTGCAAACTGATAGCAATAGGAAAACGGAGAGGAAGTATGGATCACCTCAGCGACGTCTCATTGACGCGTGCGTGGGGTGACTTCCCGAGTTTTACCCGAAGCTCAGCACACCGCTCCGAACCTGAGGATCTGCTGCCAGGGCCTGGCCGGTTTGCCTGGTGGCAATGCCGTCGGCTCCGCGTCCAAGAAAGGCCCAATTCTGAGTTGGGGCGTGGGGTTCAGTCGATGCTTTCAGGGTCTTTGTTATCGGATTGTGTTTCCCGATTGATTATGCTCGAGTACCATGCTGACGCTTGTGTCATCACGCGGTCTGCAGCTGACCTGACCTCTCGAGGAAGCACGAACGTTGCCAATGGACATTTGTGGGTCACAATGTGGGGCAAGCAGCATAATCTTTGTTGTGCCACTGCGGTCGAAATGGAAGTGCCAACAACGTTCTTCTGGAAGCCGTATGCAGACCTGCAGACTGGGTGCCGAGTTTGTTTCTACGGGTTTCAAGGTACCACTGCCCGAGACGAGCAGAACTCGCGAAGCCCTGTGGTGAATAGAAATGATGCCCACGCGCACGAACGCTCGGCAGAGACAGTGCAGCATAAAACATTGATTGAGTCTTGTGATCAGGCAAGCTGATCGAGAACAAGCACCTTGTCTCAAGCCAGCATGGAGCCATGGAGCGGTCTGCATGCGCACTCGAAGAGAATGTAGCGAATACGAACCCCCCACCGCCAGAAGAACGGAGAGCCTTCCGCTTCCTGCAGCAATCAAGAAAGCTCTTGCTGGTCGCATGGTAGACCAAAATCAGTAAGCTTTCGCTGAACCTTTGGCTGCCGCTGCCCTTCAACTCGCCCAATGCTCACAACTCGATCCCAGGATCTTTGGCTCCGAGGGATGCCTCCTCTACAGCGGAGACGATGCTGATCCTGCCTCTGGCAAGCTGGAGCTGCTCCTACACAATGGCTCGGTCGTAGTCGAGGACAGGGCGGCTCTTGGGTTTGCTGAGGCTCCCGGCTTGTATTTTCCTGTCGAAATTTGGCATCGATGTGGTTCTTAGGACAGCAAGGAAGCTTCGCAACGATGCCTTCGTGCTTCCTAGTGCTTCTGCCGATGCATCGTTAACCTCGTGGGTTCGGGTCAGCCACAGGACGGCTTCTTCTTCGAGAACACCTCGCCACCTGCCTGAGATTCCCACGAAAGTTTGAAGCCTCAAGCCTTGCACCAACATCAATCCTGCAGAATCATACTGTATGGGTGGGCAAGGTTGCAACAGCATGGTCTGTAGAGCAGACAATTCCCCGAGATAAAACGGTATAAGACTGGAGATGGTTGCCGTGGATGGCTTTGGGCAAGTCTGGGGTGTAAGACTGTTGCCGTGATCGTTTTGGCATGACCACTCTCTCCAGCCTCGTCCTCTGCATCGCGGGGAACCCCCGGATCACTTAGCTGCCCGACCCGTCCTCCATAGCAGCATAGCAGCAAGGCGAATCTGGCAGCCAAGGAAGGAGGGCCATGGACCCGAATCTCTGCAGTCCTTCCTGGCCGCTTGCAAAGGCGAGGAAGTCATCAATGCCGCCGCAGCTTGGCTTGATGTCTCCGTGTGTTTCGGGGCTGCCGTGGTGGGTCGCTTCAGTTGCAGGGCGATTAGGGCCTTGACATGCTTTGCTGTCGCTTGCGCCATGTCTCGATCCCCAGAAGTATCTCTTCACACGGAATGGGGCTCACTGCGCTGAGCTCCTGCACAGGATGCGACGAACGGCCGACTGGTGGTTGAAACCATTGACGCCATGTACAAGAGCGCCAAAGACGGCTCAGTGGTGAAGATTGGGATGAAGTAAGGCGCTGAAAGTCGTCGCAAGCCGTGGTGGGTTCAGGATCCCTATGGAGGAGTGCGCTGGAGATGCGGGTTTCTTGGGCGCCAAAGAGGGCTCAATACAGATAGGCAGCAGGGGGTTCAAAAAGATTGCTGAGCGATGCCCCATGCACGAAGCTGATCCCACGGTTTGTGCTCCGCGGAATTGCGTACCATATGTCGATGGCTGGTAGGAACTGTGAGACTTGAGGATTCGATGTGTTGATTAGCATAATGTTGCAAACTTGAAAAGGTGTTTTGGCCAATGTTTGCTGCAGCCCACACAGCTCAATAGTGAAGGAGCATGAGAGAGAGCTTCTGCCCGGCTTGCTGGATGGACTGGAGCGTAGTGTATACGAGTGCATGTAATTACCTGCATATATGTATATACATACAAGTATACATGTACAGATATATAGATATATTTGCTTATTTATTCGTATTACACACACATATATACGTGTATATATATATATAATATATATATATATATATATAAGATACATATATACACAACATGTGCAGCACGTCCCGACAAAGCACCTTTGGCAGCCTTGGACCCGCCTCCAGTCGTTTCTCCTTGTCGCTGTCATGCTTTCGCATGTATCGTAGAATCCATGCTTGGTCGCCTCTGCTGTTTTGCAGGGGCCGGGCACTCAGCGGTTGCCATACCAATTGCAGGGAACTGCGGAGGAAGCAGACAGCTGAAGCTTCATTAGTGTTGTAAGTGGGTGACCCGGCTTTGCAACAGAAGCTTGTCTCGAAGTCCTCTGGATTGGTTCCACTGACGACGATGGCTGAGCTTGCAGTTGTGGCCGGGCATTGTTATGTCGATCGTGCACTTAGTATGAACACAGTTGTGGATACAGGCATGCAGATGTGGTGACAGTAAATACTCGTCCTTGTGTTGTAATCGTAGCAGTAGATGCAGATGTACTAGTCCTATAGTAACAGTCCAATTAGGAACGCAGGGCTGTTGAGGCGCCACTGACTGATGCTTCTGGGATCAAAAGGATGTAAGTTGATCCGACAAATTTCAGGTTTAGGGCTGTGTAGTACGACGAGAACTCACAAATAACGGGTGTTTGTCAGCGAGGTCACAAGCCTTGCGCGAGGCTTCAAACCCAGCGTCGCAGATCCGAGACTCTAGATCCCAAGTTCGGGCCAAGCAACAGCAAGCGTGTTCCAGAAATGCACTTGCAGATGCAGATCTTTGCAAAGTACATGGGTGGGGTATTCCTTTTTTGCAACCACACAGGAGCATTGGCAGCCGCAGTCCAGCGACGCCCTGGCCAAACTCCGTTACCCCTCCCTGCATGCCATATACAGTACAAGTACACACTCGGTGCGTGTGAGGCCACAGCTGCCTTTGTGTCGATCTGGCAGCGAAAGACAGTGCCGAATGGCAAGGTGTCTGTTGAGCAGGAGGCCAGGAGACAGCTGCTTTGCTGCTTGTTTCGTCTGGAGTCTGGAGCACGGCGATCCGCAACACCAATGTTTCAAGGCTCCGGTAGGAGTCACATGTTGGCACGGGACTAACAAGGTCGAAGAATAGCTCCTTTGGACCAGACTGGCAACGCAGGTGCCTGAAATTATGCACACAAGACTTGCAGAAGTGGACAAACACGAAGAGCCACTACATGAGCAGTGCTTTAGGGTTAGCAGTTAGCTAGCCTGACACTTCCGTAGATCTTGCAATGCGTGCTGTGCTGAAGACATTCTGTGGCTGCTGCTATCCAAAGTACTCCTCGGTTGCCAAAGACGGCGAAGAGGAAGGCGGAGCTCCATGCCCAACTCGTGAGTGGGCCTCAGAAGATCTGTGAGGCATGCTGAATCCAATCCCATCAGGCGTATCATTTCTGCACGGTTTGCTCATGCTTGAACCACTCCAATGACCCGTGAAAATGCGTGAAGCTTGCAGGAACCGAGGGTCGAGGGTGGACCTGAAGTGTTAAACACAAACGGAAGCTGAAGGGAACAAAACCCAGCACTTCCCCTTGACCTATGAAGGCAGGACTTTCAAAGTTTCCATTTCAGACTCGGAAGAGGGTCAAAGGCCCCGTGCTTCTTTGCAAGCTATCAGATGTGGTAACATCTGAGAAGTATTCATGCAGGCATCTTGCCAAATTCCAGGAACTGCAAGCGTTTATCAGGTCACAGTCCCAAGCCACAAATGCCCGTAGCTAAAGCCCTCTCAACCACGAAGCCGGACCCAGACCTGCACTACCTGCTCTCCTTTACCCGCTCTTCCATGCACTTCCTAGCACCATTTGGGAGTTTCCGAAAATAGGGGGACCCTAGTACAGTACCCCAAATAGTAGGATCCTTATTATAAAGACCACAAAATATGGTACCCCTATTTTCGGAAACTCCCATGTCAGACGACCAGGTCGGACAGTCGGATGGCTCGGACGAGTCGGAGTTCGATCTTGAGAATCCGCCTTTGGCTCCCCCGGCGGCCAGGGGTCCGATCTACAGGCGCCTTCCAACATAAAGTCTTAATAATGATAATAATGATAATGATAATATTAATAATAATAATAATAGTAATAATGATAATGATAATATTAATAATAATAATAATAATACTAATAATAATGATAATGACAATATTAATAATAATAGTAATAATAATGATAATGATAATAATAATGATAAGAACAATAGTATGGTAATAATAATTTTCTGCAAAGAACACGAAAGCTTTTGGGTCTGAGCGGCTCTGCTAGGTGCGAGGTGGTGCTCCCAGAAACCGTTCTCCAAGAGGGTTCCTCGGTTCACGGCTTCCACCTGGCACCCTGGGAGAAGCACGAGGAGTATTGGGAACAGCTGAATCAGGAGAGCCCCGCTCAGGGCAGCCCGGTTAGTCTAAGCCGCATGCAGAAAGCTGCCATGAGCGAGTGGTGCTGCATGGCCGAGTGGCTACGCCGCCAAGGCCACCGCGACCTTGAGCCAAAGATTTTTGATGGCATACCGGATTCCAGCAAGATCCGACAGGGCCGAGTCACAGACTGCTCTCTGATGTCGGTGCTGTCTGTGCTCGCTGACTACGAGCGGACTTTCGGAGATCCCGTTCTTCGGAACATCCTTCACCCGGCTTTGGCTCCAAATAGTGCCCCCCCTGCAGTGCAGCACTATGCATGCCGCCTTTTCGTCAATGGCATGCCGAGATGCGTGGTCGTAGATGACACCGTCCCTGTAGCCACGAATGGTCGGCTGCTCTGTGCTCACTCAGCAATCCCTCACGAGCTGTGGGTTTTGCTTATCGAGAAGGCCGTGGCCACGATTATGGGCGGCTCTTATGCCATGAGAGGCTCGAATCCCTGCACCGATGCCTTTCACATCACTGGCTGGATACCGGAGACTTGGATGCTCCAGTCCGAAGTGTTCCCTTCTTAGCAGGACGAGCACGGCTGAGATCCAAACCAAAGCGACCTGCTAAGGCTAACAGCTCAAAGGCTTCGTTGTTTGTTAGTTAAGCTCTTTGAGACAGCCAAGGAGACGTTCCCTTTGAAGCCCGACTGTGAAGGTGCCCCATCGACGGAAAGCGAGTTCATGGAGATGTTCGACACGGCACAGCAGGGCTTTGGAAACGGGCCCCTTGGGGAAAGCTTCGGAAGGGCTTCTACAGCCGTTTTTCATTGCGGTATGATGTAGAGCAGTACAAGAACGGCTGACGTCACCAGAAGAGTTCTGCTGAAAGGAAGTGCGTCGTCTGCGTGGGAACCACAGATATAGCGGATGCGACCACCAATGAGCTAGCGGTGCGCTCTGGTCATGTTGAAGGCGTCAGTGTCTCCACGGGCCTCGTGGCTGGCCATGCCTACCCGGTTCCATGCCTGATATTTTGGACATATGGCTCGCCAAACCCGTGTGTGAAATCCTTTAGAAAGCTATCATTAAAGCTGATCCCTAATTACTGTTCGAATGACTTGTTCATTTGGAGCTTCCCTTGCAGAGAAGAGGTTCTGCGCTGCTGCACGGTGCAGGGACGCCGGCTCCTGTTCCTCAAGAACCCCTGGGGCCACACACGATGGAAGGGCAAATTCTCTCCTGGAGATGTCCAGTGGCAAGCAAACCCGGGTCTTGCAGAAGCTCTGAACTACGACAACACGGCGGCAGTTGCGCGGGACACCCGGCTGTGATATCGGTAAGCCGGCAAGCTCCCTAGTTCCAAAGTGTCAGCCACATCCCCACAGATACGAGTCAACAGTTGAGCGAAGCACCCAGGATGATGGATCCTTCTGGATTTCTTGGGAAGAAGTGTTGCGGTTCTTCAGCCATTTCTACATCGCTTGGTCGCCTTCAGCCTTGACTCTTCACTCGACCACCCTCCATGGCTGCTGGAATCCTTGGCCTCACTTCGTGCACAGCACTCTGACGGATGACACAGAGCCTGGGCTTGTCAAGAAGGGCGGAGTTGCACTGCTTTTTGTTTATGGGCTTCATGGCTGCTCGGGGCTTACATGCCTTTCTGGGCGTGGTACTTTTCGGCAGTTGCGAGTCAGAATTCTTGCCCCTTATAAGCCCTAAGCCGGCGAGACCACCACACAAACCTCAAAACGCTGCTGCCGAACTTGCAAAACTACACCGGGCCCTCCCTTCCAACAGCCAGGATCTTCTGGCCTTCAACCCGCAGCTCCTTGTGCTCTTCTTTGGCGGGTGGAGGGCTTTTCCTTTCATCTTTGCTCTGCGCAGGGTTTCAGGGCTGGGCTTTCTCAGAATGGTCGTGCCTGTGGAGGGCAAAGCCTAGCTAGGCTTCGAAGGCTAGGCAGCATCGAGGCTTCTCGAAAGAAGGCCCTCTATGGCAACTGTCAGGGACGTTGGGGTCTGGGTTTGTCAGCCGAGAGAGAGGATCCGCTTGAGCAGCAATACAAGAGAAGTCCTTCAGAGAGAAAGCCGAGGTGTTTGGGGTTGAGTGATGCAGTGATTCAGGTCATGGTAATCTTCGTTTGAAGGTGAATCCTCCTAGGCTGCAACTGCTGCAGAGCTTACAAGCACCACTGACCTTCGGAAGAGCCGAAGTTGAGGTTCCGGGTGCGACTCAAGCGAGCGCCTCCGGTGAACGAGGAGGTGGGCCTTTGGGCTGTGCTGAGCCGGCACATTCGGTCCCAGGCGGGCCGGACTTGGTTGCGGGTTGAAGAGTTTATTACGAAAGCTGCTTTAGAGTTGTTGAGGGACAGGGAATGCAGTCGAAGCCCGATGTGGTGCCAGGCGGATTACAACTCGCACTTCGTGTCCGTCAGCATCTACCAGGGCGGCTCCAGGGTTTGCTGTCCAAACTCGGTGTTGGAGCAGGGCGTTTTCTCCAACGGCGAGTGTGCACTCGTCAAGCTTCGGAATGATGCGGCAAACTCCAACAGCGACTTCACCCTTGTGGTTTCCCAGCATGGGGCCAAGCGAGAGTTCAACTACACCCTTCAAGTCTACACGCAAAGAGAGGCCACCACAAAACACCTCTCCCGTTGTGACAGCCACGCAGTATTTGTCAGAGAGATTCCAAGAAGCATCTTGCCTTGCGAGGTCATCATAGAAGAGCTGCCGCCCCTGGTGCCCAAGAGCTACGCTTCCAGCTCAGTTCGTGGCGAGTGGACTCGCCGAACGGCCGGTGGCTGTAGCAACAGCGTGCCAAAGCTGCACACCTTCAGGGTCGAGAGTCGATAGCAGTTGCTGAATTTTGCCTGACAACTACCACTTGAATCGATGTGCAGTGCCATGCACCCTCCGAGCCCTAAGCTTCGGAGAGACCAAGGTGTGGTCGTACTTTCAAAATCCACAATGGGCATTCGACGTACCTCCCGGCGGCCTCGACGATCTCATCCTCTTCCTGGAGAGCCCCGGTGTTTCGGTGAACGTGCGCGTGTTTACCGGGGCCGTAGCCACGCGAGTGCATTTTCAGAATATAAGTTTTCCAGCGAAGAGTCGATTCTCCACTAGTTGCGCCCTGGGCACAACATAGTTTTCAGTAGTTCCTCCGGTGCACCAGAATGCCAGAGGCCAGACCCGAAGTTGTCCGAAGTGCAGCATCCAGCGGTGCGTACCGACGTGGCTGTTGCTTTCTCCGGCTGCGCGAACTCCCGCCCGGCCCTCACGTCGCCGTGGTTTCTTCATTCCGCTCCGGAATCTGTGCACCCTACCGACGCTTGTCCTCTTGGTCCTGTTTGTGCAAGATCCTTAAGTTCTTTGCCTTCCATGTGCCCTGCTTTTTCAAGCGGCTGTGTTCCTATAGTCTAGTGCCTTTGTTCTGTATGGCAATATCTAAGGACTCGCATGGCACAGCTCAAGTGCCGTAGGACTTACTCCTCAGCCGCACCCCTTCGTGGATGGGGCACTGGCTCACCCGATGAAATCTCTGGTCCAGCAGATCCAGGCAGAAGTCGGGCTTGGACTTACGCAATCCTTGGTACGCTTTGAGTCGAGGGTGTTGTGGGTTCTGAGGCCTTTCTCTCATTTGGCGTTGGAAACAACGGTAAGTACTTCGACGGTGCTGAAACCCGAAACCTGCGAAATCATGTTCGCTGCAAAGCGGCTCTTTGCCGGGGTGGCCCTGTGACAGTCCTGTGGCTGTAAACTCTTCTCAGAACCGCGTGGGGATGGCATTACCTGCATTTCATTGGAACCCACTGAGCACCCAACTTGCAACTTGCTTCAAGTAGTTCGCACGGGTCTTGGGCCGTGCAACGACCCTGTAAGTTCAATCAAAGGTATTGAGCCTATTCCAAGATTCACTTCAAGGAGTGTTGCAGCTTTTTCAGTCACAGTGAATACAAGACACATACTATCAGAAAACAGAATATCAGATCATAGCACATAATTTGGTTTATGTAGTTTTTAACATAATAGGTGGGCCGGAGCACGGAGATCCAGATTCGGCTGGTGGACTTCAGCAAGGCATCAGGCCTTGGGCACATGAGCGCACGCCTCCAGACCAACTCGGACGAAGGCTGGGCGAAATCGGTTTTGGGTTTCTTCGGGGGATAAGGGTTGCTTAATGTAGTTAGGAATGGGGAATTTGGGGTGTGTAGTATTTTCTTTTACTTTGGCTTCTCTTTGTCACGTGACTTTCCGTGCTTGCCCTTCAGCTTCGTATCCAGGGCACGGGCTTCGGAGATGGTCAGGGGTTGACGTTGAGTTTTGACGAAGTCTGGGTTGGATTCCTTTCCCAAAGCCTCACCGATGGATGGCGATGGTGGTCCTGGCTCATTGCTCAGGCTGGAACCAAAGCTGGACGATCAGAGCTTTCTCCTTAAAGCCGCCAGCCCACCATCTCGTGCTGAACTTTGAAGCCCCCCCTTCTCGTAGTATAGTATAGCTATAGGTTATACCATATACCATAGACTATATACTAGATACTGTATATATATATATATATATATATGTATACTATACGTAAACGAAAACAGTATACGAAATCCGCCCCAAAAGAGGCGAAGTGCCCCTCTTGGAGCTCCTGAGTGCGCATCCGCAGCGGCCAGCTCCTTACTGCGTGAAGCTCCGGCCCACGGAAGCCGACCAGCCCCTCGGCTTCAAGGTTTCTATACAATAACTAAACAACTTTAAATGTATAATCTTGTGTAGTATATAACCTATGGTTTTGAGTTATTTTCAAGCTACCACTTGTCGGATTCTTATGGCTGTTCATGGCAGCTTCTTGATGAATGAAGGCTTCTTGTCGCGGTTTGTCGGGGCTTGCAGGCTTGGGGTTCTTGTAGAGCCGAGCTGGGATTCAACAGTTGGGTCTGCTGGATGAAACATGAGTTTTCCACTAAAAGCGTTAAGCAGAAGAACATGTTTATGATGATCAAAATGTCAAGCTGCAGATAAGAGTGGCATCAGCAATATAGTTGGAGTTGCATCAACAAGTGTGGCATAAGCATAATCTAGGAGCAACCGGTGAGCCCAACAGTGCCATGTGGGGCAGTAGTCAGTACGCTACTGCCATAATGATAACATGCCTTGGTAGGCGCACTGCATGGGAACATACTGTTGCAGATGGCACCACCAAGCAGACATGTTATCAAATGGATGCACGGCAGCGACATGACTTATTTGGTGATGTGGTCTGACATGTAATGCCATAATTATGGCTGGTACTATGACGTTGCAAATCTTTTGTCACAAGTAGACGCAAAGTTCGGTATAAGCACAATATAGCGCAGAAAAGGTAGACACAAATACCGTTCGATCTTTCCCGACTTATTAGTAACTACGGCACGTCAATGCCGTCATGTGCCATCATGCAAGCCTCACTGCTGTCCTAATGTAGAAGACTGGTTTGCAAGATTCTCATACAAGGGTTCTAGGCGCAGAGTTATGGTAGCTCGACGGGCTCTGTGCGAGTTCAGCTTTGAGTGTCAGGCTTTCGCCTGTAGGAGGCAAAGTCCTAGATGTACACCGTAACGTTAACTGGCAAAACTCGTGCAAAGCACGTTCCTCAAGAACAACTGAGGTATTACCAATTGTCTGGTGCAGCCGCTGCTGGGCTGTGCAGCAAATTTGTTGAACTTGGTCTGTAGATCCGGAGCCCCAGGAAGCAACATTATTACATGGGTCCTCCTCATGACTCCATACCAGACCCGAGACTCTGCAAACATGTCCAGTTCTGGATTATGATTAGAGCCTGTCAGGTGATCGTGTTTGCACAGCTCGTTCCGGGTGAGAGCTACGTGCTGGAGACCAAAGTTCCCCGCAACAGAGCCACGAGGGACGCCAAGCTCTACATCAACTCAGACAAGGCCAAGGGAAGTTGGGGGTGGAGATAATGGCCGGTTTAGGTGGTAAAGGAAGGCTTCGTTCATTTTGCAATGATATGTCTAGGAATGTAATACTCCCTACCGCTATGACCCTGGACGCAAGGCTATCGTCATTGACAACTTGACGAGTCCACGGAATCGCCGAAGATAGCTCTACCATCCGTGCGCTCCCATTTCAAGATGACGACACATATTCTGATAGAGACACCAAGACGCTGGTGTCGTCCTCATGATCAGCCGGCGCTGGGGGGAACGTCTAAGCCCGTCATCTATCGGCAAAACAGGTATTTCAGGCCGAGGAGACGTCACAACTGTGGAAACGTCGACGCCGTTCGGAATGCGAAGTACCCTCTGAGCTGTTCATGTCCTCCGGACGGCTTCCTTGTCGCCGAGATCTGCGAGCTCATGTACCGTGAGGCAGCGTATATGCTGAACAAGAACAAGCCACGGTCCGCGCAAGCTAGATCTCCCGATGCCCGCCATGCCAGGACAGTACCCCTTTGAGGCTGCTGTGTGGCTATAGAGTCTCACTTTCCAAGAGTTCGCGATCTGATCGATCTCTTGGAAACTTGAGGAGCAAAGCAACTCGACCTTTGGGCTTGGCTGCATGTTCGGGATTCAACCAAAAAGGCTCAGGAATGCCTTTTCTGCATGGTTCGGTGGCAGCTGGAGAGATCTTTTGCACCAGAGTGGTCTCTTTTGTGCTTGAGCAAGGCTTGGAAGTGGTTTAGACATCGGGGGGAGAGATTTCTGCAGGTCTGAGAAGCGAGAGCGCAGTGCTGGCACTTGCACTCCAAGCCTAGCCGGGCCTAGCGCCAATCTAGAACGCATGCAGCTCCAGAATCCTGCATCTCAAAGCTGAAAAAGATGACATTTCGAGCCCTCTTCTCTCTGCAAGTCCGCAGGGTTTCGACAGGGGATTGGCAAGCAGACGGCTTTCTCTGCAGCTCCGAAAAGCCCGCAGAGATGCCAAAAACCTGCGCTGTCGTAAGCATAGGCCGCGGCCGGAGCTGGCGAAGTCTGCCCCGGATGCCGTCAGCGAGTGCCGGATTTGAGGTGCCAGACTGCGTGGAGTCAATCTTGGTAGGAATTGAGGGGTTTAGATCCGGCTATATTCCGCTCGTGTTTGGGCTCAGTCGCTTAGCGTGGTGTGGATTATATAGTTTCAAGCTGTTTTGGGGATGTTGGGCGTCCTTCCGTTCCGGTTTGAGGCTGCGTGCAGTGATCCTGCGGCAGCTTCGGCTCCGGCCAGGCGTCACATGAAGCGATGCTGCCCTGAGAAGTTGCCAGAACGATCTGTGGACGATCTTGAGGTGCGATGCTAAGACCGCGGAGCCGTGGTAGTGCGAAAGATCCGGAGCGGCTCCACGTTTAAAGCCGGAGCCGACAGAACTCTGCACCTTGATTGATCGCCAGCTTTCCTGAACATGTCACCCTTTCTTCTTTGCGCGCTCTGTCACAATATCTATAAAGCAAAAATATATATATATATATATATATATATATATGCATACATATGTGGGGCTTCCGAAAGAGCTCAGGCCCGCCGCGCAACGCGCAAAGCCGCCAGCGAGGAGGACCTTGACCAGACACTCTCAAGCCGAACCGCAGTGACAAAACTTTGCCGTCCGAGGGTTTCTAGTCAGCTGGTGGTCTTGCTGAATTCGAAGAGACTGGGGATCTGAATTAGGTTTCAGGACTACGTCAGTCTCGAACAGTTGCAGCTTTAACGAGTTGGATGCACTCCGTTGATTGCTTAGTAGCTTTTTAGCAACTCTAGAGAATAACAGTTGAACAGCGCACGCTGTCTCGACGAGGACAGGGAAGCAGCCAAGACCCAACATGGGAGACTTTTGGAAGCCATAGCGCATTTAATTAGCAGTACTGCTCCTGGTTCTGGCGCTGCAGCAACACCGACTACTGAGTTTGTGAGTAAAAGTGTTATACTACAAGGTGTTATAGTAGTGCTGCACAAGCGCCTGGTGAACTTTGTGTGATGTAGGCGTGCATCAACGACTGTGGCACCGCTGGGCAGCCATAATTATCACCTACTGGAACAACCACGGTGAGCACCATGGTCATACTTATCGTTCATCGATCTTTCGTGGAGTGGGAGGACTGGATCAGTGAGGAGGAGGCCGGCACCATCAGAAACTTCTTCATGTCTCACGTGCACAGACTGGTCTTGCGCAGCATGATTGAAGTCAGTGAACCAGCCATGAACCGAGTGCCCAAACTTCTGCACCGGTTTAGGTGAGGAGAAATGAGGGTCAACAGACCGGCACAGGTAGTGCCATTGAGAAGATAGTGAGGCTTGCTCGAAGGACCAGTATACAAACAGCAGCAAGCAGAGCTCTCCATGAGACAGGTCCGGGACGCTGCATTGAAGTCCTTCGGGGCCGTTCAGGCCAGTGGCTTTCTGAAATCAAGTAAGCAAAGTAACAGGTTCTGCATAACATCAAGTCTCGGCTCTGTTGTTGTGTTCACCGAAATGCCCCGAAGACTCGGAAACATGTTGAGATCAGTCAGTTGATTTCAATCAAAGCTACAATCTTGTCTCAAATCCAAGACCTTGTGCCTACCACTTCCTTTCTTGCCTCTCCATTCGCGAATGTTCCTCGTAAACACCAGCATACTGCATAGTCAATTGTTCGCTCCGAATGTTTGTGCGAGTGAGCCCCCTCACGGCCGTATATGTACTGCAAGCAATTGCCTAATACTCGCTTCGTGGATTGGCCAAACTGATGGGGTAGTGTTTCGAGAACAGCATAATTTCTAATACATCGGTCATCAAACAAGTCCCCACGCAACCATCGAACATGAAAATGACAAAACAGCAGAATGAAACAGGCAATCAAAGCGGAGAGCCAGTATGAAAGCGTACAAGTCAGCTCCACATTCCTCTATGAAGTGACCAAATGCAAGAATGTCTCGAAATCAGCAATCTGAGGACCCACTCCTTCGACGCTCTCTGGAGCTCCGGTTTGGGGCAGACAGAGGCAGAACTCGGTGGATGGAGCTGCTGTCTCTTGACCTGTCGGCAGGTCCGGTGGCTATAACGCGATGACAGCCTCCGTAACACAATACCTCGCCAGTGATCATCAATCGCGCGTGTTCGTCCAGAATAACATGGTGTGGCCTTGTTCTCAAGACACATCCCTCAACCCTCAACGTCCCATTTCATCATGCACTCTTGATGCCGAGACAAGTGGAAAAAGTTTGGTTGCAAGCGCCATGAAAGCCCCTCGCTCATAATTTTCAACACATCCTCTTAGCCTGCTTTGCGGATGAGCGTGCGCGGATTCAGGAGAAGCGGAGTAAGTCGCAGATTTTACTGTTCAAGGTTCTATAAAACTTGTCCACTAGGTTCCGTTAGATTGCATGGCATGAGCCGCAGGTTTGCCCCATCCCATCTAGCAGAGACTGTGTATGTATCGGACCATTCAGTCTGCCCGAGAAGTGGCTCGGAGGTGGGGTGCGCCGAACGCCGGCAGAGGCCTAGATCAGACAATATTGGTTTGCAAGTGAATGCCTAGAGCCCTACATCCCATGCTCGCTACATGCATTTATTGGAGGCTTCAATTCACCACATGATTTCGGAGTGAAGTGCTGTGACAGCAACCCTTATCTACCTTGTCTGCTGGTGCCGCAGCCATGCAATGCAGGAGACGGAGTGCGAGACTTCAGGTTCCAAAGCCGAGATGTTACACCCTGGACTTGGTCAGAAGCTTCGAATCCAGACGCTAGGCTACTAACGATGAAAACCCCAAACCCAAAACCCTCTAAACTCTACCCCAGACCCAGAAGCTCAAGCCCTTTTCACTTGGCTTCTGGAGCTGCATCCGCAGGTTGCCGAAGAGCTTGGTGGCAAGTACCGTGGTAAGCCGGAGGCTGGGCATGGCAGAGTAAGCTTGCGTTAGTGCTACAACTTCTGATATGTGTGAGAGAGTTGCCGGAAGACACTCACATCGACTGCACTGCTTCACAATCCATGGTCACAGTGGTGGTGCTTGAGTTGCGACTGTCTTTAACTTATGTACGTAGTTGGAAAGACACAGACGTGCATAGCGGCGAGTATATGGCGACGAGCCTAGAGCCTGCAAAGTTTTCGGCTCAAGACACCTCCAGACAAGATAGATGGTGCGACCAATTCAGCTTGCCACGCTCTAAGATAACTGGGCCCAAGATGCCTCTCAAGACCCCATGCTGCAGTTTATTGAAGGCCCCAAGTAAGACAAGAACGGTCTCTTCAACCAGCCTTGTTTTCTCAATTTTCCCGGCGGCCGGCATGGCTGCTGCATTTGCCAAAGTTGCTGAAGGCCGCGCAGAAAGTTTTCCGGTAGTAGCTGCGAGTGTACTTCAGACCCGAAACACTGGCTGTTGTCATGCTGGCAGGGATTGAGACAGCGAAACCTGTTGCAGCCAGAGCAGGGAGATTGACTTGTCGTAACAGTCAAACAGTACCGGCACAAACGGATGCGGACTCGAACCTTTAATCTTGTCGCTTGCAAACTGCTGTTGTTCGGCTGTATTGGGTAGAGCCGTGCCATCACGCAGGAGTTTTCTCTTGGTCAGACGTCCAAGAGGCTGCTGCAAATGGATCAGAGAAGCATCTAGGCATTTGATGCTGTGAAAGGCAATCTTGGAGGACTTCTTGGGTTTGGAACGACCTGGGACACTGACAGATATACATATATATATATAGACACATTGACATGGCTGCACAGTTACCATGCCATATCAAGGTTTTGCAAACATTCGCAAGATGAGCGATGTTGCTGAAGAATTGTGAACGTTGCATGCAGCAGCGGCAGCGGCAGCAGACAAATAATTGTCTATATAGTTCAGGATGCATCCTGCAGAGGGTACTGTGTGGCATCAGAAAGCCGAGCAGAGTACACGTTACAACTGCTGCTACTTAGGCAGCTGATTTTGGCTTTGCTCGATGCACTTGCATCTGGACACGACAAGGCAGCCAGTCTCCTCTTCGACTGGGGAGTTGCACCTGGCCTTGGGGCGGTCGCAGCAGACTCGCCGCAACCAGGCAGCGTGCACGTGTTGATCTTGGGCTGGGGCGGCTCCAGCCAAGCTCAGCTGCAACCGGCACAGAAGTGGTGGCAAGGCAAGGGGTACCCGACCTTGGCGACGACTTTCTGCCCGAAGGAGTTGGAGAAGCAGATCGATGCCATCAGTGCTTTCTTACCATCCAAGTGCGATGTCCTGGTGCACGTGTTCTCGAACAATGGCGTTTATCTGCTTCAGGAGTTGCTGCAGCAAACGCGAGAGAGTCGACCTTGGCGGCTCTCCGGCATCATTTTGGACTCTGCGCCGGATGCCTGCGTCAGCCCGATGTTGATGAACATGGTGGTGAACGGCTGCATTCGTGCGCTTTGCATGGTTCACGGCGTTTTCATTCGGGAGCGTCCTGAAGCAGCTTTGACTGCCTTTCACGTCATCGGCCCACTACGTGTTGGGGACCGCATCCAGGACCAGGGCCCCATTCCATCGGTGGTGGATCCAAGTGGAGCTGCACGTGGCTATTTGGCGAACACGGATCGAGGCACATGGGCCGCAATTACACCTTACAACCCTGCACAGCGAGAGCAACTGAAAGAGCTCTAGGAAAGGGTTTAGGGTTTAATCGATCCTTTGTCGGCCCTTAATGTAACATATGTAAAGTTCGGAGTGGTTTGCGGACCTGCTGCCTCCTTGCAGGAGATGCCATGAACGCCAAGGTCATGCATACGGCTCCGCGTCCGCAGTTGGTCTAAAGCGATTACGAACAGCTCATTCAGTGCCCTGCACAATCTCGAAGAATTGTGGCCTTATAGGGCATCAGACAGAAGGTGTGTAAGTGTAGTGCGTGGCGTAGAGCTTTCAGGCAAGCTCGGTGCATGTTGGTTTGGATTCATGAATGGCAAGCTAGTCAGGAGGAAGAGTGCTGGAGGCTTGAGACCTCTTCTTCAGACCCAATGTGGGGGGGGGAAATGGGCGAGATGGGTGAAGCAGGACTCATGTCCTAGTATAGGGGCTTAACAATTACCAATATTTTTTTTGGGGGGGTTCCGTATTTACTATAATTCTAATACATATATATATATATATGTGGTTTGTAATATCTGGCCACCTGCCTTGCTCCTCAAAGGTTTGCCGTCTGTGACCTGAAGACCCCCGGAACTCCAAATTTCCCGCGAAGCCCAGCTCCTAAACCCTAGAACCCCAGAGAAAGAGCCACGGCACTCTAAGAAAAACCTATAACCCCAAGCATTAGGATCCGTATTTTGATAAAGCCCTGACTCCCTACACCTTAGCTAGCCCCGATTGGGCCAAACAGGTCGTTGCCGACTATGCCGGCAAGGCCTTGGAGGCAAAAGACGTGGAGGCCTTGCGCAAATTCCAAGTCTCCAAGGCCGGCAGAATGCATAGGGTCCGGCTAGAGTTTTGTTCGGAGCGTGAGCGTGAAGATTTTTTTTTGCCGCTTCTTTGTGTTTCAGTTTTCTTGACACTTATGGCTGTGCTGTGAGGTTTAGTGTAAGCGAGGAGAGTGGGTCCTTGGGTAGTTTTGCCAAAGCTATCAGTAGTCTCTGCTCGGGCGCTGAAGTGCAGACCTATCGTATCCTGCCATGACCTATAGCACAGCCTTTAGCACTCTTGGGGTCGTTGAGAGTTGATCGCGGCAACAGCGATCAACAACCGAAAGGATGGTTCGGCTTCGAAGTTCTGCTAGTTTCGGCTTGTCTAGTGGCCTCATCTGACACGACGCAGATCTGTGTCCTTATCAAGGCTTTCATGCAGTAAGCACCCAAGCCGCTCCAAGCAGTTCCCTTGTTGCGAGAGCCGACGGTTCAATAGCCGCCAGTTGCTGCGAGTTACTTGCAGTGCGTCTCCCTAATGCACACCCCCGCTTCTCCAATTTCTAGCAGGTCGAGATTGGAACAATCTCAGATTTTCTGCTGCAAGAGGACGTGCCAGTGCGGCTCGATTTACATATAGGGTTGTTGATAGTGATCAGCTTCTGGCTGGATCCTGATGACGACTTAAAAATCGGCGCCGGTTGCCGAAAGCATCAACCAAGGCTGTTTCTTTATTCCTCTACCGACAGCTTGATCAAAGCAGCTGCAGTGGAAGACTTCATGAAGAGAAGCACGCGCCCCTCACCTGCACATGTCGAGCTTGGAGACCTTGTCAGCATCCTGATGCCAGACGGATGTGGGAGTTTCCGACAACTAGGGGTTTCTTTTTTGCTATCTGTATAACAAGGATCCTACTACTATTTAGGGTACTATACTGGGGTTCGCTGTTTTCGGAAACTCTCATGTGTCGAATCTGTTCTAGTAACAGCAACCTCTAGTAAGATGACAGGACAATTTTGGTGGCCGAGGTTCACTGCAGAGTAATACGGGCATGCGGTCGATGGTATGCTCTGTTGCGGTCACATCTGTTGTGTAGTGCCTGTTCGTGCAGAGGTGAGGGGCAGACGAGCTCCAAAAAGTTTGCTGGATCGCAACATGTCCGCCACTTCCAGAAGCATGCCGAGCCTCCGCTGAGAAATTCAGGCTTGCATCCGTTGTCGTAAGGACGTCAGCCTTCTGGCTAGTGCCAGGAAGGCTTTTGCGGGCTTGTCGTTTCGAAGGGCTACCTCTGCCGCTTGCCGCATGCTGGTGTTCCCACCAAGTCGAGCAAATGACATCACTGGAACCCACATGCAACAGCCTAACTCACGGTCCAGAATCTCGCATCCCGAGCAACTGAAGCTTGGTTCAAACACGCCACAATGGCACAGCTCTGCAGCATCCTGCAACCAAACCTATCAAGTGCTGGACCTCTAAGCCGAAGCCCCAACGACGACACCTGCAAACCGTAACTGACTGTTTACCCAGCCCCGGAAGCCCCGAAGCCTTCACATCCTCAGGAACAGTATGGGGCCGAAGTGGTGGCCTTCACAGAGCGCTGTCGACTCGCAGCGAGCGCACGCGCGAGTGGCTGAAAAGAAGATCGTGGTGCAACCCGCATGTGCGTACATCTGGACGTGCAAACACAGAGGCACGCACACAGAGACACACCTGCGTGTGCACACTCAGAGGCGCATGGGAGCTCGTGCGCATGAATTTGAACTATATATATATATATATATATGTACGTATGCATATGTTCTTCATTACATACATACATGTGTATATATATATATGTATATATATATATATATATGTATATATATATATATGTGTGTGTATATATACACACACATATATATATATATATATATATGTATATATATATATATGTATATGTATATACATATATATACCTACATGCATATACATATGTGCATGCATACATACATACATAGCACATGCCGATCTTTTGAAGTTGTGGTTTGTTGCTTCTCAAAGTTGTCGTGCTCTAGGAAAGGCTCAGTGTTCTGGCATGACGCGAACACATTCGCTTTGCCGTCTAAATTCTGGATTCTCGAGCCCCGCCCATTCCACAAAGGCTGGGCCCGGTTGACTAATCAGACAGGCCCGCTGGTGTCTCAGGCAGCGCGGCTGACACGACTTTCACATATACACCCCTTTTATAAAATCGCCTCAACAAGTAGCTTATGGGGGCAAGCCTCACATGGAACGTCCATCCCCTCATGCTGCGTTTTCTTCGCGCATTCGTGAGAAACCGTGCTCTACGTGTCCGCCTGCTTTGTCCGTGGTTCGATGTTAGTCTTCCGGGCTGCATTCTGTCGCAGGCCGCCTTGAACCTGGTCCGCACAGCCTTGCGGAGCATTCCATTGGTAGCAGACGACCCAAAGGAGCATCTGTGCATCGGAAGCTCTTGCAATCCACAGCTTCGCCACTATAGCTGGGTCTTGCAAACTGTAACTACGCAAACTAACTCGGCCTCCAGTCTGCACTTGATAGCCGCACCGTATTTAACTCCCGGCCTGGATGTTGCAGGATTTGGTCGTGATCTACGAGGCGCACCCGCACTCCAGTCTTCGGAGCCTATAAAGGCTTAGACAAGTGGCACCAGCAATCTGATGTGAATGTTTCCGAGAGGAAGCGCTAGTTACTAGTTCCCGTCTGAACAAGTGAGAATAATCAGTTTGAGCACAGTGCAGGAGCATTTCCATGCCTGCGACATCACCTGCAGCATCATCAACCATCACGCCAGGCGTCATCGTCTTCACCAATACAGTGTTCTGAACCCCGGTTGCTCTCATATGCAGAATTGTGTCTGACGAATCTCTAGCCAGGGCCCAGTTGCTCGCAAGCATCTGTCGGACATGTTAGAGACGGACAGGAGCTGTCCCCTTCCCTGAACTTTCCATGTTCATCTTTCAGGGTGAAGCTCAGACTGCCTGAACGTAGTCTACAAGCTGAACACCTGTGTCTTGTGTAAGCCCAGAACCCGGGAACCTCGAGGTACGAGATTTATCCGCTGACCTCCTGGCTGTTGATTCTCCTCGCCCCCATGGTGCGGCCGAGCAGGATGAGTCCCTGCTGGCGGTTTCGAAGCCGCCTTGCCTCCGGTGCACTCCTGTCCACAGGCAGGTCCCTTTGTGCAATCAGTGATCTCGGGTTTGCGTTAGGACTTAGATGTGATCGAAAGTTTAGCTCGTTGGATGACGGGGTGCAAGGTTGAAAATACATACATAAAGCATGGTGCAAGATGTACTTTGCGACCAAAACTATTGCGCAATCTCGCAAGTGGGAGAGGTCCTAAACATCCCTCAAACCCAATCCTGCATTGGTGCTTGTGAAGCTGCAAGCAGGTTTGTGGGAAAGTCGCTCACGAGTCAGGTGGCAGCCTCGTTTAGCCGTGCCGAGTCAATGATCGAAACTACGTATCTATCGTGGCCAGAATTCAGACGACCATCCGAATGCTCCTGACTTTCTCGCTAGCTGCCGTTGCATGGAAGCCCCAGCCATGTTGCCATGTTGAGTCTTGCTTCAGTGATACCGCAAGCCAAAGACGCAGGCCCAGACCACAACCATGAGTTACTATAATGGGCCCCAACACCCTATTCTAATTATTAAGGCCCCTATATATTAGACCCTGTTTCCAGCCATCAAGCTCGCCCGTGCATGGATCCTGAGATACTGGGCTACTTCCAGTCGAAGGGGGAAGGGCAGTTCGAGCCTCAGAGATGGGGTGAAGGCTCAGCGAAAGGATTCTGGTCTGGGAGCTGAGGCATGACCGAGGGGGTTAAGATTCAAGATTGCTCAACCAGCATCGAAGTCCGAGTCGCAATGTACTACCGCCTTTGGCTTTACGATGCATCTCAGATGGCCTTTGAACTGAAGGCAGGCCTCGGCACCGATGATGCTACATCGCTTGGCTCGGGACCGAGTTGAGCTACACCCGTGTTAGGTCTGTGCAGTACTCCTCGAGTTCTGCCTTGGCTTACTTTGACGTTGACAAGGATCAAACCACAAGCGGGATCGTGTTGTGCGCCAAGACGAAGGCTCTCGCAGAAAAGTAGCTGTCATCATGTTGGGTCGAACTGGGGTCCGCGACAAGTGAGAGGAAATCCTTGGACGGCTGCATGCTCTAACCATTGACACTGTGAATTGAAACTGTGATCATACCGGGAGTGTTAAGGCCCTACCTCATACATACAGTTGCATACATGTAAGCCAATGTACCATTCTGGTGAAGGCGGCTGCCAAAGCTTGTGCTGCGAGCGCCTCAACTCACAATAAGTTTGAATCATGTTTCAACTCAACTTGCGAGCTTGTGAATCCATGGTGAAAGCTATGTCCGGCGTTGGGTAGCATGTCTGACCAACTGAAACAAGCAGTCTTTGACGATTGAGGAGCAGTGGCACGAGGACGATTGCAAGAAGGACGGTGAAAAGGCTTTATACTGTCCGTAGTGCACGCGGCGGAAAGGACTTCACGATGGGTTTCTCAATGTTCGAGTCTGATTGAAGTTGTCCATGCCATTTCGACATGGCATGATCAGGAGTATTTGGCCATCGCGCTCGCTGATGATGAATGCTCTCTGCATCATGTCGGCGCCACAACGGTGGGCCGTCCAGTGACTCGATCCTCCCTGCACAGACAGACAAGATGTGCAGCTGCCTGATTCGCATCCGATCTCATCTTGGCTGCTGGCTGCTCAAGCGCACGCGTTTGAGCCTGGCAGTTCCTTCCGGGAAGCGCATTGCTTTACGAGTTTCAGGTTCTCTGAGCTTGTCCTTTCAAAACGTGTCCGTATACATATGAATCTATAAGGCGAGGATTATAGTCGAAGCCCTCCATGCACACGGGACATCTCGCAAACCGATTGCTTTAACTGAATTCAAGTCGGCGGCAGCAATGTGGGCGCTGCGCCCGCCGGAGGTGGGGATCCGTTTGGTTCCGCGGTCCGGCTACCTGCGGCCGTTGTCGTTGCCTCGCCGTGCCCCGCCACAACCGAGCAATCTGCGAAAGGTCGAGGCGAGGCTGGGAAAAGACTGCATGTCGGCTTCGAGCTCCACTATTATAGGGGCATACATAATTACCTATACTATTCTGGGAGTTCCTTATTATAACTTTAAGTATCGTATAGTATAATATACCCCCCAAACCCTGTTCTAACCATCAAGGCGAGCTCAAGTTTCTGCAGGTACCAATATATAGGAGAGCAAAGCATCGTGCAACATGTGGCTAATTTCTAGTATCACTGCATCACGGGCTCAGTATGCCCAAGCACCAGGAGCCAGGCACTCATCTGTGAAGCCAGAGGAGCTAGAAGCTTAGCCGGGCGTAACACTGTCCAGGACCATCGAGCGTCGCACGACCCCTAGTGCCAAGAACTCCCACGCACCATTGAGACTCCCAATCCTTCCAGGGGCGACCGCTCTGTGGCACAGCAGCGTTGGCACTGGCCATCACGGCCCTGTCACGCAGTCAGCAGCGGCGTTTTCGGGCTGCCCTGCGAGTGGTGGACATCGAGTCCTTGGAAGAATCTCGGATGGACTGGTTTGTTTGTCGGTGAGGCCTACAAAAAGAATGGTTTTAATAAACAGAGCTTCATGTTCTCGACTACAAGCGCAACAGAGAACTCCCTGTTCTAGAGTACTTCGTGGTACCTCTATTTTATGTCGGTGCTGCTGTGGTGGCAAACGGTGACATGCCTGCTGGCACTACGATGCTAGTAGCTACATCGTGGCCAGCTAGACTCGAGACCATCGGCGAGACAGTCCCATAAGCGAGTTGATGGCACAGCAAAGCCTGAATCAGAAGAAGACACTGAAAGTACTGTAATCCTATGCCCGGAGCTTGACCAGAAAAGCTGTCCTAGCTGAGGTGGTGGATGTTCTTTGTGAGGAGGAAGGACCTGTGCAGATTAGAATGAGATGGCCCAAAGGTGGCGACTCTCGGAAATTTGACCGTCCTCGAGACCAGCTGCTGGAGAAGACTCTCATGCGGATGTCCCTGACGTTGCAGAAGGGGCCACTCGATGTGACTTAGAAGTTTGTTGATTTTTAGCGCCCGCCACACCACCCACCCCCGTGCATGTCGGGTGCAAGCGACATGCCAGCCGCATTCGATGTCGGCAATCAACGAATGAAGGTCCTTCGTAGTGCGTCTGCAAGTCTTGCACATGGCACCCTCGAAATGCCGATGTCACAGACCCTTCCTCAGGTCCAATACGAAGGCCAGGCGACGTGGATGGAGGCAGCGGAAGCAACACAAAGAGGTGGAACAGAAGAAGGCCCCTGGCCGGAAAGCAACAGCATTTGCTTCGTGCTGACGGCTTTCTCCAAATGTTTTGTTCTTGGTGCTGGGCCCTAGATTCGGAACGTGGGAACGTGGGTTTGGAAAGACAGTTGTCTGTCCAGTTCACTTCGAACCTGGCAGAGCTCAATCATAGAACCTTGGACCTAGGTTGCCGTGTTGATGGCAGACTAGCTGTCCTTGGTTTGCTTTGGTCGCGGCATGCACTGCTGAAAGTGTGCTCGGCATGCTTTCATCGCAATCCTGCTCTAGCTCCTTTCTAAGACTTTCGAGACAGAGACTAGACAGTGGGTGTTCATACAGCCCGCCTGATTGAAGAAGCTCGACATGGCGTCGAGGTTGAAGCGCCGAAGATGCCGATAACCACAAGTCTGCTGTGCCTTGGGTGCTCATGAACACAGTTGACTCCAATGAATACTCTTTTTTCGTTACAACAACTCAGAACCTATGTCGGGTTTCGGATTTCAGGTTTGCGAGTGGCTAGAGCACGTGAGGACCAATGATGGTCAGCCGCTGGACGGGTCGCTGCAGCTGGAAGAGGCGTTTGCCGCGGAGACAAAAGCAGCAATCCTGCTTGCAGGTCCTGTCCCCAGTGGCCTCGCGTCAGCCTCCTTCAACCACCGCCCACCAAATCTCCCACGCCAAGCCAGCTCAAAAAAGCGAAGCTCAAGGTGAGGAGAGCTATCGCGTGCGCGTCAATCGACCCATGGCACGTCATGCCCCTTGGCTGCACTGAACTACACCTCTAAGAATGGACCGGCATCCCGGGTCAAATGCTACGACCGAGGAACTGTATGATGACCATCCCATTGTGGGCGGGATGGCGGCCAGCTTTTCATAAACTTCAATTTCCCAATCACGCCTCGAGAAGTTGCTGATGAATTCCACCTATCAGATCAGATCTTGAAAACTCAAACTCACCAACTGATGGACACTCTGAACACCGAACTCCCTGCAAACCTCTTCAAAAATATGGCACTCACTCCACTACTCAGTTAATCGAAACCTCGGGATCCTAAACCCTCACCCTCAGCCCTCAAGACCCCAAACCCTCAAACATCCCACAAAGTCCTCAGCCCTCGATCAACTCTCAACCCTCAAGACCCTGAACCCACAAAACGCTCAAATCCTTAATCCTAAACCCTCAAACCATCACTTCCTTCAATGCTCAGGTGACTTGCCGTGGAAGGCCGAGAGCAGGGCTTCGCCTTGCGGCCGTCGCAGAGGGCTGCACCTCGGCGTCGTAGTGTGTTTGTTGGATGGTTTCTTAACTAATATTCCGTTTTGGGCTTTGGGTTTACAGTTGGATAGTTTCTCAATGGGAGAATAAAAGAGGATGTCTAGATCCATGACGCTATGGGCTGAGATGGGTGCTTACGAGTTCTGGAGGTTCTAAGGTGCCTCAAAGCTGTTTGTTGACTTGCTGAGGCCCTGAGCAATTAAGACCGCTTGAAGGTGGGGCTAGTGGCATTTCATGGTACTGAGGCTTCCGCACAGATGTTTATGATGTGTTCCGGGTTCCCTTTACTCTCTGGTCTACTGGTTATCTGGATTCTCAGTCCGGGCAACCAGGCCATTGCTGACCCTCTCCAGACGTGAGACTGAGAAGATGTCGGGTCAACATGTGGGGACGAGTACATTACAGGTGGGAATCGGAGGCCTGAGCGTTCGGTGTGGTATGCACGTCCTCTATAATCTATAACGCGTGTTCGAGGCGGTTGAGAGATCAAAGTGCGCAGTTGGAGAGAGTGTTTGAGCGTCTTTGATGTTGCTGTGGCTTTTTAGGTTTCTGCGATTCGCAGAAGCTTCGCTGGGAGTGGCGTGTTGGCGGCGAGCTGGTGAGCCGTGAGCATTGCTACACACCAACTGAGGCAGCGACGGCCCAGTCCTTGCAGATCTTTCAGCAAATATCCTCTAGATTAGCCCCAGAATCATTCGTTGTTATATATATATATATAGTAGCATGTGGCACCGGAACAACTTGTCCGGTTGCCCTGGTTTGAAACATTAAGCCATCAATCTGTTGCCGCCGTGGCTGCTCTGACTGGTACCACGGCTAGTTACTGCTTGCCTGGCAGCAAGCCACTCCTGGTGCATAGACCTGCACTTTGAGCAGAATCCCCTCGCTCCCTGTTTGGGAAGGGATGTAACCAGGCTAGCATGGAAGGGGCATCTAGTAATGAAGGGGCCTAAGCACTGTTTACGGTAGGGTTTAGGACCTATATATATATATATATATATATATATATATATATATATATATATATATAAACATATAAACACGCACACTATAACTCGAATAAGGAACCCACCAAAAAAAGGAAATAATGCAGGCCCCTACATTAACAGCCTTGTGGATTGTGGATTCCCGGTCCAGGCGGATGTCGGCCAGGCTTTGGAGGTCATCGCACGGCCACCCTTGGCAGACGATCCGAAGACGAGTCTCCTCCTGGGTGTGGATGACTTGGAGGTCAATTGGGATTTAATTATAGAACTTGTGTTTGGTACAGGCACTGGGAGTCTGTGTGAGGTTAGCTGGGGTTCTGGGGTTGGAGGGTTTGGGTCTTCAGGGAAGGCTCAGACGATGCAACGCGAGCTCCTAAGCGCTCTCTCCGTGGAGGCGAGTGCCCAGCTGGAGCTGCCAGAGGTGCAGCCTCCGGCGGCTTTGCCAGGGCAGTGCGATACGCGCAGCCAGGCTGGCGGAAGCCAAGGGTCCTGAATTGACTTAAAGGTATGGATCGTATGGGTGCTTCAGACTTGGCAAAGTCTGGCAAAGTTAGTTTTCCTTGGCGATGCCCTCTGGTGTATCGCAGCTTCAGACACATTGGCAATATTGGTGAGCTGAAGCGTCATGCAACTTGCTGCGTGAATTAGGAGCCAGCAACCAGCAGCTCAAAATTGCAGAGATGTTCCCACATGTGTAGTCTCGTGTTGGGTCTCCTTTGCACGCAATCGGGCGCTTTGCCCCACTAGGCGATGGATGCTCAGCTGCAGACATGGCTGGAGAGCCAGGACAGCTGGGCAAATGCCATGGTGAAGCAAGTTGTCATGCACCTCGAGTGGTAGCGACTTGGTGGTGGTCAGATTCGGATAGGGTATACTCGATGCTGCCAAGCTTTCCTTCGACAAGCATACTGAGTCTCCTCGGCAGCGGGATGCAGCAAATGGATCCATGCACACATGTGGCAGGACAAAGCGCCGAACACTCTCCGTGTCGTGAGCTATAATGCACTCGCAGACTGCTACAGGCCTGCTGACAGAAACCGGACTGCTTGAATCTACTACTTTCAAGTGTAGTGGTTTCGAAGTGCCGGTAGAGCAAACTCTTGTAGCATTTTGCAGAGTACGTGGTGAGTATCTTGTTGTAGGAAGGAGCTGCAGAGTCGAGACTTTGTTTTCAAGCAGCAAAAGTCGTCGCAGCGAACAGAAATCCTATCTAAGCAGCGGCTCCCTAAATCTAGAACCCAAAGCCCTGAAGACGCAAAGCCTTGAAGCCTTTAACCCTTTTTTTCCCGAAACCCCAAACCCCGAACTGAAGCCTTGAACACTCTGAACCTGAAACCCCTAAGCTTGCGCCTGAGCCCTTGCAGGCATTGCTGGGACCAGATGTTCCCGTATTGCCAGCCCGAGACGCTGCGGCCGGAGCAGAGGCCTTTTAGGGGTTTTGAGGGTTTTAGGAGATGCGTTAGGGTGGGGTCTAGGGTTTTAGAGATGTTCAGGGCTTAGGGTTTAGGGGTTTAGGTTTAGGGTGCTAGAGATGTTTAGGGCTTTGCGGGTTAAAAGTTTCGAGGAACTGGGAGTTTGGGGAGTTTAGGATGCGGGGCTTATGAAGATGAAGGAACGAACAATGCCGCTACTAGTAACATGGAGAGTGGGCGTGCATCTTAGTAACTGTCGCAAGTGTAAAGCGTATGCCGCGTGACCGGAAGGAACTATTAGCGACAGCAGTCATGGCAATAATCCAAATGGCCTTCGGGTTGCACAAGCAATGATAGTAATGGTATGTCTGGCCATGCAACGATGCCGGAACCTGAGAACACTCCCTAGAATAGCATCAGTGGCAGCCATCAGTTTTGTCGTGCCTGCACCAAGAAGACCCAAAACCAGATGTCCGCCTCTGGAGTTTTCGCAACAAAGTGGAAGATCGAAGACCAGTTGCTGCTGCAGATGCCTTCCCAATCGGATAAGCCGTTGTCCGATCCTCAACCACACAAGCAAATCCGACAAGCCCGTGTTGCGGAGAAGCTCATTCCTACATCCCAACACCATTGAGCCATGCACCCTTTCGCCCCCAGCTTCTTCGCCCCAACCCGCAGCAGGTTGCAACTCATTCGTCAGGAGGCAAGCATGTTGACCTTTTGTGTTCAATGATTAGACCGGGATAACATGTTGATTGTCGCCCGGTCAGGATTGGAGCTGGGATTCTAGAGCGCTGGATTTGTGGTTTGGATTCCGAAGTCATTGCTTTGCCTTCAGGGTTTCGGCTCTCCATGCTCCGACGCACATAGATATGTTTCAACGTGAGTCTCTTGCAACCTCCTTTCTGAAAGCCCAACTTAGAAGTTTCGTGCATGGAAAGCTACCTGCCGGGAAGGTCAGCACCTTCCGCGCAGACCTGCTGGGTATGCAGGAAGTGGACGCAACCTGGTACAAGGACCCATGGGCCTCCAATTCCGGAGCCTTGCGGCTGAGGGCTGTGGGTTTCGAGATGCTGCACAAGGTGGTGTGTTACACAGTACGTGACTCCTTCAGAGGTGCTATCCATGGGTGCCCAAAGCTGTTTGAAGCAGCTCAGTTTCGGCCAAGTGCTCGGGGTTGTGTTTTTTTTTGTGAGTGGGGGAGGGGGGGGGGGGGGTTCAGATCGCATTGGTCTTCCATCAACACTGGACTGCAGCCTTTCTTGCCCAGATTTTCCACCGCCAAGCGGTTGAAGAACCCGCGGACTGCGGCAAAGGCCACGCAGTCGTCGCATGACACACGGGCTCAACAAACTCGCAAATTCTCGAACCATACCTAAGCTCTAGTACTTTGGAACCTCGGAGCCCATGAAGTCCGACTTTCGATTGATGTACAACGAAAATGGATGTTTCTCTACTTTTGCGAGAGCAAATCAATGAGTTCCTTGCAGCCTTGAGCGAAGCTCATCAACAGACCTATGATATCATGACCAAGCTGTTGAGTGGAGTACTTTCAGCCTTTTGATATTCCGAACCAAAACCGCAGCGCAGCTGAAGCCCAAGACGTCATGGAGTGTCGTCGCTGACGGCAGCCTGCCGTGGCCATGCACGCCGAGAAACTGTCGCGCCAAAGAAGCAACAGCCCAGGCCTTAAACTGTTTGCAAGCCATGCAGCTATTATGATGTTGTCCGTGAACAGAGTTGTTATTAAGGCTTCGACGACGAGCAAGATGGCGAGTGGTGGCCACCTCCTCTGACTGAGCAGGAGTCAATTGGGCTAGGTGTGCAGAGTGCAGCACGGCGAAATGCTGCAAGTGCGATTGGGCTGTGGTAAGCATGGAGCCGTTCATCTTGCCTCGATGCTGGGGACTGTTGCGTGCCAGCCTCTTGTCAGTGCTGTAGAGAGTCAGCTGGGTTTTGCAGCCAGAGAACCTTCGCTTACACAATTCAGCATCCTATCCAGGACGTGGCTTTGCGACAGCGCGCCAAGCGGTTGTTGGAGGCGCAAGCTTCCGCAGAGGGGTTGGGCAGCTGAAAAAGTGAACCGTTCCCCGATTATGCAATGCCCGAAAATGCTGAGGCAATCCGACGGATTCCTCTGGTATACTATGACATCAAAGCCTGGGAGAACGAACACGAGAAGGTCTTCTCCCTCTTCAGGAAAGGTGGGACCCTAGCAGGTAGAAAGACGAGCCAGTCGGGAATAGAACTTGCAGTATCTGAAAATGTCCAGTTTCGTCGAAAGTTCGTAAGTTTATCGTAGGTCGATCTGGCTAGGTTGCCTGGATGCCGACAAGTCCGACATGCTGGAAGCGCCGATCTACAACAATCATCAGATTGAGGATGCCTGGCTTTTCCTGCTGGAGATGAGGAGGCGGCACTTCAATCGCAGAAAGCACGTGCAAGAGTGTGCGCGCATCCTGGGCGCGTCCTACAACTGGTCTATAGTGCTTTTGGGCTCCAAGATGCTCGGCGTGAAGAGAAGAAGCCGCTCAAAGAGTCGTAATAAGGACTTGTTTTCTACAATGCTCCTGGAAGTGCTGTCGCGATCTTGAATGAAGCCCCTTACTGAGGCCCTACTGTAGCCCTAAGCCCTAGCAGTCTCTGATGAAGCTTGAGGCTCCTTAGCAAGAAAGTTTTGGGCCTCGAAAGAGAACTCCGAACCCTCAGCCATTTACAGAACCCTGACGAACCCTAGACCCGCCTGTTCAAGTGAGACGTGCAGCCGAGGAAGGTCTTAGAAGCTCTGAAGGATCTGCCACAGGAAGTATGCACAGAGATCCTTGAAGATGCCAATGCCTTGGACCTGCTGAACACCCTCTACCCTTCTAGGCGCCGCTCGGGGGCTTTGACGGGGAGGGGGAGCCTTCCAGCTGCAAAGGAAAGAGTATTCCGGAGTTTTAGGAGAGGTCCCCCCACCTTGGGTCCTGGAAAATGTCCCTGTGAGCTTCTGCATGCCTCTCATTGTGATGAAAGATTTTAACACCAATGGCCTAAAGTATTCATGACACTGAGTTCTCACCTTGGTTTTCTGCCCCACCTCATAACTCCGTGCACAACGCTCTCTACTGGAAAGCTTCAAGGCCCAGTCAAAGACGTCTTGGAAGATTCAGTGGTTGCCAGCATGCATTCTTGCTTGCAGCCCAAAGCTATAACTTCCATAAACCCTTAAGACATTTGTAAACCCTAAACCGCTAAGCCCCTAAACCCTAAACTCCCCCCCCATTCGCTTTACAGTGACCCGGCCTCCTGCAGGCGTCGATCGAAGCCTCGTCAGGCGGACTGGCTTGCTGGCAGCCCCTCAGAGCCACTATGGGATTATACTAATGCTAATGATAACAATAATAATCAGAATGCTAGAAGCGTCTTTGGGTACAGGAAGCAGGAAGTAATTAGGGCTAAGGGTTGAGAGGTTCAAGTCTTTTGCTAAGCGGTTTAGGGGTGGCAAGAGGAAGCCACGCGGTCCCAGTCTTTGACCATGATTGACTGCTGCCCGAGAGGCCTGAGGTTAATGTTCGTTTGACGGTCAGGGTTCTTTATTTGGCAACCCGCACCAAGATGTTAAAGCTACATCACCAGCAAGAACAACACAAGTAGAAACACCTGTTTGGGATTTGGGACCAAGTGCCTCATAAATGTGTTTAATGTGGCTTCAGACCAGGCACACCCAGCAACTCCCCGTCGAATGCTTGGAGCGGCGATTCAGCCACCAGACTCTCATTCAGTATGATTTTCTGATTCTGAAGAGAAACGTGTTCCCAAGCGGTTTCCCGACTAAGCTTTGCGCCAAAGGCCTGCTACGAAATCACCCGGCGTTGAAAACCTGCAAACAGCTTGAAATTTCAGAACCTTACACCCGGTGAAAGATCGAGAAAGCCGTAGAAATCCCAGACACCCGAATCGCCCGACCCCCAGATGGCTTTAGGACAGCTTCTTTGGGAAGGACAGCACCTCTGGCAAGGTGGAAGACTCGCCAACCTGGGTCCAGGACACCTGGCCGGAGGTGGGTCGGGCTCTTGGGTTTAGGGTTTAGAGGTTTAGGTTTTGGGGGTTTAGGGTTTTGGCTTGGGGTTCAAGGGTCTCGGGATTGGAGTTTTCGGAAGGCTCAAAGCCTCCCTGCAAAGAGCTCCCGATGAAGGTTCAAAGCTGTGGGCAAGCTTTGCCGAGATTTGTCGGTTCCCATGGATGTTCACTGGGTTTATGAAGGCTGCGGGTGGGCTTATGCTGGTACAGGTGCTCATCCATTTTGGTGGGTAAGTTGGACACGCTGCTGTCCAGGTGAAGGCTAATGGCCGGAACCCCAAGAACCCCTTCAAGCAGACAGCCTCTTGGCTCGTTCTTGGTTCACTTAGCTTCACATTGCATTCGGTTTGTATTCGGTTTGTATTCTGTTTGGGGTCGATCGTCATGGCTTAGCAGGATGGCCATAGCATTGTTTCAGAGCATCCAGAAAAGCTGCTGAGGACGTGAGCCTTGAATGGATAGAGGAGCAGCCCCAGCAAGCTCAAGCAGCTCCAGGTCGGCACTGAAGATGCTAGGGCTGAGAAGGGCAAACGGCAAGAAGCTCCGATGGGTCGGTGCAGGGGTAATTTTCCCGGTTTAATGATTTGATAGATGAGTCTAGCTTGGTTGCATGTCTCAGTGAAGATCTGTTTCCTTCGCGAATTTCCAGACGCATGTATGTGCTGTAATTAGAATCTATTTAGAAGATTCGTTTACAATCGTGGCTACCCATTCTCGGCAAATGCCTTGTTTCTTGCGACTCTGTTCCTCAGGCTGAGTCCCTGTATTGACCGTTCAGTCTTTGTCCAAACCAGCGTCAGGACTGTACATGTTAGTCATGGAGGAACTCTCCACAAAGATGTCTTCTCAATTCCTTTGCTGTTGCAGGTCCACCCGATGCCTTCGGTGGCCCCCAGGCATCCAGTGGTGATTCTTCATCTTATGTCAAGGATCGTTCAGATTGCAATCGTATTGCAGTATCATCGTTCCTCTTCGGGCAAACATTCACAGCCAGGACTTGAATGCTGGCCAAATACCTCCTGCCAGAGAGATGGGATAAGCTTGCTTGCTGCGCACCTCGAGTGTACCTGTTTGGGTGACTCCAATTCCTTGGTTGATGCTGCAAGCTGTTATATGTAAGTTTAGATACTCTTACATGTTTACATTTGTATGTGCGTGTGGTCTGTCTACGAGGCACCTCGAGAACATGCGAAATGAGCAACCCAAGAAACAAACGCCACAAACAGAGGTGCATGCTCCCTACCAAAGGGGGCCAAGACCGCAACACCTTAAAGCTAGGGGATGACGGAAACGGCCCACAACAGAAGCAACAGAATTACATCCTAAAGTTTCTCACCCAAACGAAAGCCTGAAACCAAAGTTCCAAAGCGACTTCTGGCTAGCGTCGTGGAGTTGGAAAAGGGCTCACAGAGAAGAAGGCCTATAGGCCCTAGCTTGACGAGCCCTTAGTTGGGGAGCAGGTCGAGCCGTGGCCGCAGAGACCGAGCGAGCCCTGGCCGCAGTGGCCGGGAAGCTGGAGAAGCGAATTTTCTCTTGAATTATTATTATGATTAATTTTAATATTGCTATTATTGTTATGATTATTATTACAATTATTATTATGCTTATTATTATTATTATTATTGTGACTTTCTGGCTGTAAGGGGTGCCTCGCCCAGCCCAAATGTTGACCCCAGAACCGTGCAGCAGAGAAGGATGATGGGTTCCGGCTGCGCGGGTCAGAACTCACGCTTGTATAACGCTAGAGTTCAGGGGTTGGGTGTTTGCATGGGCTCGAGCAAGCGCTGTAATCGGGTTGCGATCACATGTTGAGGCACCCTGTTGTCAATACTGTCCAGTTGGAGACGCCGACGGCAGAGCTCAATTTGCCGAATCGGGCTTTGGTTGAGTTCTCGTCGTCACCTTGGCTGGTCGTCTGTTGCAAAGCGCCCACCACCAAACCTTGCTTTCCGGCTCTGTAGAGTTCCAGCAATGTGGATGGGTCTCTGATTTTCTGATTGGCACGGCGAAAGAACTGACTCTAGCAAGAACCTGCGAGACTGTAGCAGCATGTGCCCTGCTTCGAGGAAAAGCCTGGCGGTGGGAGGCTGGACACTGTTTTTTGTTTGTGGAATTGGGTCCCATACTACTCTTGTGTTGATCCTCGGTGGCGGTGATCTTCATGTGTGGCTCGCTGCTTTTTCCAGAACATGTGTGCCAGATCCTACCAACTTAACCACTCGACCCCAAGGACCTACAGGTCTCTGATGCCCTGCATACAGAGAGGCAGACACTGTACAGAGAGAAGTGCAGAATCTACATGGGGGTTTCCGAAAATTCGGGGTACCTGATTTTGAGGTCCTTATAATAAGGATCCTACTATTTGGGGTACTATGTCTATGTTAAGGTTCCCCATTTTCGGAAACTCCCACATCTACACCCCTCCCAACTTCCCCTGTCGAAATTGGCAGGCCGAGCAGCAATCCTTTTCGGAAGGATGGGCCACTTCCGAGCAGCAACCCATTCAGCGCCTCACCTCCGGCGAGGGCATGAAAAAGAAGGGCTGTTGGGATCTTTGAGCTGTCGATTTTTTGTTCCAGGCGTTGGGGCTTGCGTGGGTCCGCTGTTTTGCCTCGAAAAGCAGAATCCTTGTTGTTAGGCCGCATGGGATCGGATTGGCCTTGGAGCCACGCAACTTCGTGACTGCCCAGGGAAAATCCCATATCCAATTTGGCTCCCTATGCACCAAAGCTGCCTGGAGCAGGAGTACTGGCAGCCTCAATTCTCCGCCGACGGCTATGGGAGCTGCTTCACCAAGAAGGCTCAGAACTGTAGCCATGTCCTCTTGAGTCCAATGTGCATTTGCTGTCTCCTATAGCGCCGACGGAGGCTGCATGCATATCTACTGACACCGATGCGCAGTCTGTCTGTTTGTCCGTCTGTCTGCCTGTCTGTCTGATATCTTTTTGTTTGTATGTATGTACTTACGTATACTATAGGCATGTGCAGTATAGACCCGCTCAAGATTCCCAAGTGACAGCAGGTCTCCGACTCGCTGGAGGGCTGCCTCCTCGTGTACAAGGAGGAGGTCGCAGGGCTCTGCTCACGTAGAAATGTTCTAGTAAACCCCATAAAGTTGGAAACCGTACTAAGGCCAAATAGTGCTGGGATTCCCTAGACATTACTCTTGAGGATTGAGGCTATGGGGTTTCCAACTTTTGGGCCTCTACTACAAGCCCAAAGTGCTTCTAGGACTCCTCTTGCTGTTGTTTTTGGCCGATTGGCTTAATGAGGTTTTGACAGGTCACATTCTGGCACCCTCGGATTTGATTCATGCCCGGTCTCACCGCATTCCCAGCGAAATCTCCGCGTCCTAGATCACGTTTGCAGGCGGGGCTTTTCAGTGGGTCCCGCTTCCTGTGAGCAAAGTCCCCGTGTGCAGACGAGATGGGAACAGTGTGGGGCTTGCGTACCACCGCACCTGAACTCAAAACTTTTTACCTTTCTTCCACGTGTGTATGGTAACAAGGCCGGTCCACAGCATATGGTGCACTGGACCGTCAAGCTTCCATTGTCTAAATCTCCCAACTGGCAAATTCGGCATCTAAACTCTCGGCATACGGAGACCCTATGAGAGCAATTTAACTCTTGTTCCAGCAGTGTTTTGTGTTATTGCTTTTCATCGGAGGATTATTGCTCCGATGAGTGTTAACAGTTGTCTTACCGCGGAGACTCTGGTTTGTATCAGAGTCACTCCTGAAGTCACAGCCCTATATACCACAATTTGGTACTAACCCTGCAACAATCCGTAACTCCAAACGAAAACCCTGCATTATGACTTTATACTATACGGCCCTATACTGTAACACTTCACGGATAAAACCTACAGAGACCTGGCTCTTTCCTCCTCCGAACCCGAGGCCCTGGAGTTGCTGGAGATCCGGGAGCTGCCGCTTCGCGATCTTTTCAGGCGCCGCAAGAAAGGGGGAGGCCTCGTGTTTGAGGGGGGGGCTCAGTTTTTGGAGGAGGGGGACGTGGGAAAGATTCTAACTTTTGTTGGGAGATTTGGGAGATCTATTCAGGAAAAGAACTTGGGATCGGGCATGTGGTCGGTTTGGGGTTTGGAAGGGTTACTGTTCAGGCTTTTGAATTGTGGGGTGTAAGGCCTCTAGGATTATGGTTGAGGCTGGAGGAGATCATTGGCTAATAGGCTGAGGGTTGAGGTGGTGGTAGTTCAGTGGCTTCGCGTCTGGGACTTCATGCTGAGGTACAACTCCCTAGTCTTCACTGGTCCACTTTCAACGTGATGTTTGGCTCCAGGTGTCCGACCTGAAGGGTTGCGGGTTCGTTTTATTCTGTTCTGCATGGCAGTGAGTTGTTCATGAGGCAGGCTGTGTATAGTCCTTGGCCGAGCTTTTGCCGCACCTTCGTGTTCTAGCAGTAGCTTATTACGCCGCTTTGGCGAATCTGGGCTTCATCAGAGGACAAACTGCAGAAACATGAACATAAGCTTCGTGTCGACAAGTGGCAGTTGAGGTGACCTGAGCTAATTGTCCGAAGCCCAAGAACGTAACTGCACAGCCCATGACCGCCTGAGTCCCGGCCGTAGGAGCAGAGTTTCTCCGCCGGAGAGCGCTTTGGAGGAGGCGCTACTGTACCTACCCGAAGTGCATCATTTTGGATTTTGAACTTTCGCATAGGCTTGTGGGGGATAGTCTACTATGCTTGGACAGGTTGTGTATAGGAGTAGTAGCACTACAGGTTGGGAAGTAAATGCATCAGTGACTCTTGAGCGCTGCCCATTGCTGCAGGTAGCAAGCTTGCCTTCGATGGATGCTGCTATCGGAGCTCTGGTCGGCAAGCTTCCTGACACAGCCTCAGAGAGCCGACCTTCACACCACATTATATTGTGTTACATAATGTACATATACATATATGTATATATATATGTATATATATATATATATATATACATATACACATACATATATGGGGTATCCCCGGATGGGGGTTAGCATATCAATATATATATATATATATATACACATATATATATATATATACACACATATATATATATATATACATGTATATTCTTTATGATCTATTGTTTCTTGTAAGCTTTTGTGAGATTCATGATCGAACGGAAGAGCAGCATCGTCTGCACCCAAGGCTCTGGATGATGTCTTCCCGCGGCAGCCATCTCAGCATCATGAGCCCCGTCGACACCCTACTTACCGTCGTCGTCATTAAATGACCATGACGGTGAGAAGGTATTGTAACTGTGTATGTAATCACCGGTGTGGCCATCGTTGGCATCATCATATTATCGGTGCGTGTGCAGCCTCGAATTTGTCATGGAGTTTCTTCTAGCACAGTGGCTTCCGATAGAAGCCCCTAGCCTGCAGACACACCCGAGCTGAGTTAATCGACTGAGTGACTGGTTGATCAACTGCCAGTGGAAGTGGCTAAGTATGTGATTGGCCAGTCTGTGATCATGACGGCAAGAGTCCTAAATGCTTATAGCTTATAGGAAGAATGGTTGCCAGGAGTGGCAGATAGCACTTTAAGAGCCGACTCCTCACCATTAGGAGCAGCAGCAGCAGCAGCACGAGTACCATTGAGAAACCCATACCATGACACTCACGACTAAAAGCAGAAACTTTAAACCCTAAAGCTCAAGTCAAAGTATCTCCTCTGAAGAGCCTAGGCTTGGCACCGTGGCTCAACTGGCCCTCTTCCGGAGTCAGAAGGAGCAGTGGGGGCATGTCTTGCCGCGATTCCGGACATGTGAATCCTCGTGCATACCAAGCTTAGAGTGCGAAAGAACACATGGGAGCTTCCGAAAATAGGGGATCCTAATATAGTACCCTAAAGTCTAGGACCCTTCTCATAAGGACCCCAAAATACGATACCCCTAATTTTCGCAAGCTCCATCATCTGGGCCACAGGATTCCAGCCAGCTGCTCCTGGTCTGCAACACGCATCTCTACTTCGCCAACTACGCCAGGCTCCGGCTGGCCCTGGTGTTTGTCACCACCGGTTTCAGGGTTTAGGGACAAGGGCTTTCTGCTCCTTGCAATCTTGGGAACCCCTAGCAACAGGGACAAACAGACTGCATAGGCATAGAGTGACGAAGTTAGCGACTGAGGTTGCATTTTCTTTCCTCGGTTTCTGGGGCCCTCGGAACTGCATTTGCAGGTGTCTGATAGCTTTCGCTGACACAAGTGAGAAGACGGCCAGTACTACAGTGGTGAATGTCATGACTGCCATCGAACCTACTCCCGCCGCTAGCCATGATTGCTATTAATGTGAGCTCATGATTCGTAATGGCCCCCTCAATAGAGCTAAACTCGGCCAGCACGTAATAGTAAACTCCCCCTCAATAGTCGTAATTCCCGCCCGGTTTTATCTTTCTAAGGTTTAGGTAAATAAACACTCCTACTACAAAGTGACGCCTTGGAAGCGGAGGGACAGAGATAGGACCTGAAGCCTCAAGCCTTCAGGGATGCAGGACAAAGCTCCAAACTCTGGTTTTGCACGGTTGCCAGATCTATAGGTTTCTAATATAAACCAACTGTAAAAAAGCCATCCCATCAACTTTTCTAAGGGGCAGTATACGATAGCTGCCAACCCCACAATAGTTCGGATGAAAAAGCCTCCTCAATAGTGCAGCGGCCTGCCGAGGGCCTCCAGAACAGCCAAAGCAGAATCCCTTTCTGTATTCAAAGCCATAGGGCTTCTATACAGTTAGAGGCCTAAAGCCTTAAGCCTTCAGGATTAGCCCAAAGCTCCAAACTCTGTTTTTGCACGGCTGCCTCTACTACTGCACTACTACCGTACTGCTACTGTACTACTGTACTATTAATCATTAATACTACTGTACTACTACCATACCACTGTACAACTAATTACTATACTAGTACTGTACTACTGTACTACTGATTACTATTTGACTACTGTACTACTACTGAGAGCCGCGGTCCCCAAACAACTTCGACCCCGGCCCGCAAACAACTAAAGATGATCAGGGAGGCGGACTCCCCCGCCACTAGTGGGGATTCGGGATGTTCAGGGGGGGATCACTAATCAGGAGACCACATTACCAGTTCGACACTGCCCATATGGGCGATGCCAGGCATATCCGAGTGCTCCAAGCAGCGCTCCTGCTTGCCGAGGCACTGATAGAAGATACTGTCGCGCACAACACAAGACTAGAATAAGACACAGAGTAGGGTTTTGCACACTGGTGTACGAAGTATAGTACAGTGCAGCAGTATAGCACAGTGTATGTTTACATACTACATATATATATATAGAGAGAGAGAGAGAAGAATAGAGTAATTAGAGTCGATGAAAGTAAAGTAGAGTCTGGTCTCTTCTAGTCTAGTCTCGTACAAGTTCACTGCATCATAGCATGGCATGGTGTAGCGCATCTTTCCCTTGACAACTTAGTCAAGCCCTATCCTTCCACGGCCAAAAGTCTGGATCTCCAAATCCGGAGAAGCACAGGATGCCGAAAGTATCCGAAAGGGGATAAGGGTAATGTGCAACTCCTAGTCCTCAAACTTCGCATCTGGTTCTGGTCATTGCAGGACACGTTAAAGAATCTCTCAACCGTTGCTTGCTTGACGTTTGGAAACTGAGCCCGAAGCCAAATTGTCAGTCTGCAGTGAGGCAGAGTCGATGGCCGTAAGCGCGGTTGAGAAGTCTGGGCCTCAGCTCCACGGCGACTGCCCCGTGGGTTCGTTTCCAATGGTATTCGTGGATGTGGTAGAAGAGGACGAGGCAGCGAAAGACCGTTGTAAGGGGGTAGTATGTCGGTCATGTATGCAGGCACGCGAGTCGGTACCAGTAGCCTCTGCGCTGGGCCGGCGGAGGTTTGGGCATCGTCCGGGCCTCCTGTTCATGGGAGACTTGAACAGCACGTCTGATCCTCGGATCCGGGAGAGCAGAAGGGCTACAAATCACTGGTTCAGGGGTTTAGGGTTTAGGGGTGGTCAGAAAGGATAGAGGGTGGATCAGGGCAGGGACCTTGCAGTAGGTCCTTTGATATGATATCAAGGGCGGACGAACGGATTGTTCGAGGCCAGACACGGCCGTGGTCGAGCTCCTGCGGCAAGGCCCAAGCTATTCCTAGCGAGTGCCCGGGCTTCCGAGTCAGATTTTTTTTGAACCTGCTGCTTGAGGTTATAGTAGGATTTAAGCGTTCATTTGAGGGCTGCTGACACGCAAGGTTCTTTCGATGAAAATCATTCTGCCTGCATCCTCTACATACTACGCGTGCAGCCGCATGCATACTGCTTTCAAGCATCCAAAGTAGCAGCGGATTGCCAAGAGTTTAGAATACAACAGGTACTTACATATTCGAATGTCATATAGAATGTCCTGGGCATCATCAAAGCAACATGAAGTGTTAGCGTTCTGGGCACCCAAAACCCTCGACCCCAAACCTTTCTGAAACCCTAATCACCCAAGCTCGAGGGCCCTAAACCCCAAAACCCTGTTTGTTCAAGAGGCTTGGTGTCTGCTGGCCACCCAGACTGGGCAACCTGCGCAGCCTTCCGCCGAGCCCTCAGTTCGTCAGTTACTGTCTGGCTCATCTAGAATCTAGGGTTGATGGCAGGGGTTCATTAATGTTTCTAGGAATTAAACTTCAGGGTTTTAGGGTTCAGGGGTTTGGGAGTTGAGGGCGTAGAGTTTAGGATGCATCTATGCGGGTTTGGGGGAAGGGCTGTGGACCACAGAAGACTCGGGGTCGTGCGGGATGGAGCAACGATCCAAGTTGCCGCACTCCGCGAGTTAGGGAACGTTGTGTGGAGTGGCCTTGTGCCCGTCACATCTTGTCCGGAACTTGAAATCCGAAATGAAGACCCGAGCCGTGGGATTTTTGTTGTTCAGTTCCATACATCCTACTAAACAGTGGACGTACTGGACCATAAACCCTAAACTCGAAACTCCTTAATCCCGAAACCCGAAATGCTAAAGAACAAGCAGGCCGGAAACCATAAATGCGAAGGCTGGGGCTATGCTTCGTCTCGGCAGGCCGCGAAGGACTCTTGCAGTTCGGGCCTGGTTGATAGGGGTTTCGGGCCCTCAGCCTTTAGGGTGAGCGAACGTCTCCAGAAAACATCTCAAGAGATCAGCGGCTTGGATCCCCAAACCCGCAAGTCCTCAAGGCTGACACTAATCCGAAGCCGTCGCAGTGGACCACATGGGTTACCCAGTCTAGTGCTTAGGGTCATGGGGTGGTGGTGGTCGTCGTAGTAGTAGTCGTCGTCGTCGTGGTGGTGGTGGCAGTGGTAGA